GGATGATTGATGATCTTTTATGATAGGTAGTTGATCTCTTTGATGGTTTTTGGCTTTTCGCAATACCACATGTTCTTTGTGGTTTGCTTTGGATTGGTCTCTTGGGTTTGAGACATCAATAGGATGTTGCTGACATTTGCTTGAGAAACTCTAGTTCCTTTGTATTGTTGACCGGGATCTATTCATATTAGCTAGTGCGATGGTTAGCATGAATGCTATGTTTGTTGATCTTGCGATATTCATTCTGTTCTGTTGACCATTGCTCGAGTTAGTTCTGATAGGTTGGGATGTTATTTCCTATGGGTGATACATTCGCGAGCATTGTGCTTGTTAGTCAATGATACTTTGTGTTCTTTGAGTTATCTTTCGTAAGTTGTTTGGCATTCTATCTGCGATGTTTGATAGTTAAGTTTTATCATTGAGTTTCTTTGATGATATCCTTGCTATTGAATTTTGTTGGATGGTGATTCCTATGTTTACCAATTATGATAATCTTGGTGGTTCCTATACTCTACAATATTAGTTTATCGGATGATAACTTACTTGGAATACTTTTGTGTTCTAATCTAAAATTTACTCACTGATAATTAAGTCTCTAAGATATCATTGTTTATGACTTTGATATTGTCCATCTATTGATCTTTGAGTTTGTAGCGCACGTGGTTTTGACCCTTTATCCTATGGTGATTTACCATAGGATAACACCACGAAGCGGAACCTAAACCCTCTTTGTGCCACGTGACAGATGCCACGTGTCACATGCCACGTGTCTATAGGAACCCGAGGTTCAGGGCCTTGGGCCATTGAACGAAGGAACGGTGCCAAACTCCCAAGCGTGGAGCCAAAGAGTGGTGGAACCGAACCACGGAGCAACTCCTGAGCATATAGCCCAAGGAGCAAAGGGACAGGAGCCCGGTGCGACTTGGAACAGTCCTAGAGTAACTAGCATCCCAATGCTAGGACCAGCACGCAAAACGGAGCCAAATGGAGTCTGGCGCTATTTCAGCATACCGGTGGCCTAACGCGAGGACATGGGTACTCCACCAGCTAGCATGGAATGGAACTTGGGCTTAGACCCAAGCCGGACGCAGAACAAGGACAGGCACGCAAGTGGGAGCTAGACTATGCCTCAAGTTGGTCGGCCATGCCCGACCTACCCACTATCCCTACTATACATTTGGAACCCCCCACAGCCCCCCCCCCTTGAGGAACACACGCTTTGGGCTTTCACCCCAAGCCTCCCTTAGTATCAAGAGTTAGTCTCTGGGACAAGCTCAAAACTTACTAAATATGGAATGTCCCTAGATTGCGAATTTGGACACGGGACGAACACCATTATGTTCAGGACGATCTCTACATTCCGTAGATATGCCAAATGAGCAAATCTGGACACTTTCCATAAACAGCATTTGGGACCGAAATGAGACTAACACAAAGGGCATGATAGCGAGGGTGTTTGGCAGACACGGTAAGCTATCATGTAGCGATATTGAGGGACCAATCTCAATATGCGAGGGTTCTTGTCAAGCCAGTGCAAAACAGAGCAAAAGAGAACTAACAAGCCGGGCCAAGTATGCTCAGCTAAATAGACACTTAGGAATTCCTTCCTTATGCTCATCCGGCCAAATACAGATGCAAAGTCCAGTTTACTAACACTTGAACAAGAAGGACTGATAAAGGGTCCAGCAATACCGACCTCCTGCCATCGTGGTAGTAAGGTAAGAGTGTCCGTAAGGACTAGCCGATAGGTAACTTTCGATACCTGAAGTCACATTCGCGACAATCTCGGACTCCATCTGGGTCCATCTCGGGTCCATCTTGGACTCCATCTCAGGTCCATCTTGAACTCCATCTCGGACTCTATCTCAGGTCCATCTCAGACTCCATCTTGGGTCCATCTTGGACTCCATCTCAAACTCCATTTCGGGTCCATCTCGAACTCCATCTCGGGTCCATCTCAGACTCCATCTCGGGTCCATCTCAGACTCCTTCTCGGACTCCATCTCAGACACTTCCACGTGTCATGTTTTGTTCCTTTTGTGTCCCCTTTTCCAGAGACTCACTTATGGCTCATTTTGTGCTTGTTCCTCAAGCACTTTATTAGGAGTTCCACTCCCACTCTCGACTTTTCAAGTCAGAGCTTTTAGTCCAAACGTGTTATGCTCATTTGGCTTTTGCTTCGCCCACTACCACATGGCACCCTTTCGGCTCCACTTTGGGGCCTAGGGATTTTATGTCTCACACTCCATCTCCGAAGGAAATTCCATCTACTTTAGCCATCTTCCAACAATCCACTTTATTTTTCACTAAAACTAAGGAAAAACTTTGGTACCAAATTATAAATTATAAATTTTCCTTTGCCAATTTGCTAATTTACCTTGTCTATCTTACCACCTTTGCCTTGGCATTAACTAAGTTCCCTTGCTAAGGATCTCATCTATCATACCAACTCTGACTTGGTTTTACTTAGGTTAACTATTTATTATATAAGCAAAAGGGTGTTAGTCAACTCTTCATTCCCCTTTCTATGTTAGATTGGACTTAAAGTTTGATTACACTTCCCGCAAACACAAATAGCCAAGCACACCAAATCTCCAAGTTCCTCATGGTACACAAGGCTTATTTATAGGATATTCTAAATCCTAAGCCTTAAATGCATCTTTTATTTAGAAATGATGGGAGAGGTAAACACTAAGTATAATGGTCTGGTATAGGTACCCTTATTCCTCCAAAGGGAATGCTCAAGCCCCTAGGAAGGAGTAAAGACTAATGAGTTGTATAATACTCAAATAGGGCATCACTCTATATGAGCTGAAAGCACTACAATTGATTTCCCTTCTGGGAGTAGGAGTTACTCTTGTGTAGTTCTTTGGGGGCTTCTTTGGCATCCCTCGAGTCCATGCTTACTCCCACCCAAAGCTACTAACCCCTTAGTTTTAACCTCAACTTGGTTTGAAAATACTACTGGATAACCCACCCCCAGGGGGGATGATCACTTTGGGCTTTCACCTCATGACTTGTATTAGTATTCAAACTTAATCTCAAACTCGATTTTAGACTTGATATTAAACTTGGTCTCAAACTCAATCTCTCGGATTTTAGACTCAGTCTCGAACTTGGCTTTAGAGTTGGTCTTAGACTTGATCTTGGACTCAATCTCATCTAATAAACTTTTTATCATTCCAGTTATATGACACCTACTTACATAGTCCCACTTTAGACACCTAAAAGTACTATTAATGTACTTGCCTTTAACATTAAAGTTATATCCATTCTTAATATCTCATTAGTAATCCGAGATTATTTATAACTAAGCCATCCATCTATGAGTGGTCATGGGATGACCACAAGATATAAAAGACACCATTCCTCAATATTTTTTCTTTAATCCCTATAAAGTCCTTTTCCGTCTATAACAGTGCTTGCCAACACCACCACCAATCCAAAGCCTAAAATTCCATCCACTAAGTCAATCAATGTCTAGGACATCCTCACCATGTGACCATACCTTTGGTGAGTTGTTTCAGAACGAATCTAGAGTGACAAAATTGCTGTTGACAAAAGTGCCACTGTCACCCAGATTTGCAGCACACAAAAGAAAAGCTTAAGCTCACTGCTCCAGACTGCTCTATCTAGCTGATGTTTTGCCTTCTACTGCAGTTCTCTTTCTTTTCCCTTTTATTCTCCAGTGCTTGTTGCACAACAGCTGTTGTGTTCATGATCGCTGTTGCTCTTGCTGCTGGTTTATTAATCTTTTGTTTATCAAAGATTAAAACTTGTTTTCTATCTTTTCTTATTTCCAGGGTGAAGATGTGGTCCATGATTTCTAACTCAACCCAATGAATGAAAGTTTTCTCCAAAGGATACAAAGCAGCCAAAACTCATTGATCGATTGAATCATTTGGCTTTTCAGCTTGGCTTTCATCAAGAAAAAGGGACACAGAAGATCGAGTGTCAAGAAAATCAAAGAAAACACAGGTGAGTATCACCCGATTGATTTAACGTGATCTTGACCACAGGAAATACGTACAAAACAAGAGGAGCTTGGTTTCTTGTTTAAGAAACAATATAAACAAACTTTTCCCTATCGATTGAGGTAAGCAAAAAAAGAAAAATTATGAAAGATCTCGAAGAAGACCATTTGGCAGATTTTTTATAATGCCACAGAGATGATGGGAATTATTTTCTATGGTTCGAGATCACTTTGGACAAAATGGCACTCGTTCCCGCTTGGGCATTTCACGACTGACTCAAAAAATGCACGTCTCTTCCTTTTGTTCTTCGATAGAGAAAAAGGTTTGTCTTAATCACAAAGAGTTTATTTGCCAGGAATTCGTCCAGGAATGTTTTTGTTCTCCAGCAAAGGGCTCGAAGTTGGTTTTATCTATGCAAGGAATTTATCTTCCGAAAAAAGGTGGTGGAAAAACTTCCACTCGTTTAGCTATGAGGAAGGAAAACAAGCTGGGCAGGGAGTAGTGCTTGTGTGTTTTTTATTTGTTAAAGGAACTTGCAGCACTTATTCATGATAAAATCTTTCTTTTTGCCATTATCCAGGTAATGCTGGATGATCACTCTTGTCGGTTCGGTAATGAGAATGTGATTGAGTGCTAGCACCACTGATCACAATCCTCTCTCGACGATAACTCTCTCTTTGTTTCCTGCTTTATTTCTTGTTCTGTGTTAAAACTGAGAGCTCTGCTATTGCTCAAGCTCACAGAGAAAGAAGTCGGAAACGTCGTAGAAGACGATGGAATGAAGATCAAGCACAGTGGGGAGAGAGTGTCGCGGGCGGCATGGATTAGTCTGCTGGGTGGCTGCAGAGATCACGGGGACCTTGTTCGGGGCTCAAGAGCTGTGCACCACGTTTTCGTGCTTGATCCTCACAGCACTGTTCCTTATCTGGTGGTGGTGCCGGGCTTGAAGTTTCTTCAAGATGACCGGGATGAACCCGTGTGTGCCTTGCAGGGGTATTTGTAAAGGGTGGAAAGCTTGCCGTTTCAATGCGCTTGTCTCCCTCGGGAAGAGCTCTTTCTCGTGCTCAAGCAGCGTTGGGAAAGAGAGAATGGCCTCCAAGAATTTGGTTTGCCACTATGGCCGCGGAGCAGAGATCACAGGCTTCGAAACAAGGGATGGACAATAAATGCCCAGTGGGGGAGAAATCGGCAGCGGAGTATGCTCGACTGCTGCTGGCTTGCGGCAACGCAGCGGATTACATCCAAGCAAAACGCATCCACCAAGAACTCAAGCAGGTGAGGAATGACTTGGAAGAGGATTGCTACATTGGAAACATCCTCGTGACCATGTATGGCAAGTGCGGAAAGCCGAGGGAATCCCAAGAGGCGTTTGACCGCATCCTGGAGCCGAATGTCATATCCTGGAGCTCTCTCATTGCTGTGTATGCTGGTCAAGATACCATGTTCCAAGAATCCATGATGCTATTCCAGAGAATGCAACTCGAAGGAGTGCCTCCAAACAACGTCACCTTCGTCAATCTCCTTAAGGCTTTCAACTCTCGTCACCACCTTGCACAGGGAAAGCTGCTACACACTTTGATCTTGGACAGCGGCTACGAGTTGGACAGTTTCGTGGGAACAACACTGATGAACATGTATGGCAAGTGTGGGAGCTTGCGAGATGCACGGCTGGTGTTCGAGAGCACAGTGTGCCACGAGCGCTCTGCACCATGGAGCGTTTTGATGGCCGCCTACGTGAGCAATGGTAGGAACAAGGAAGCAGTGACAACTTTCTACTCGATGCACCTCGAGGGAGTGACGCCTGATAAGATCGCTTTAATCAACGTTATGACGGCCTGCTCTACCCCGGACTTGCTAGCAGACGCCAGCCGGATTCACGCTTGTATCTCCGAGCACGAGTGCCGGACGGACGCTCCCGTGGTGAATGCGCTGCTCAACATGTTTGGGAAATGCGGGGGTGGTGTCGAAAAGGCCAGGGGGATATTCGATTGCGCCGCATACGTAAAGACGAGTGCTTCTTGGAACACCATGATCGGTCTTTACGTCGAGCTCGGTTTCAAAGAGGAAGCGATGGTGCTGTTTCGGAATATGCTCCTCGATGGTGCGTCATCTCCAGACGAAGTTAGCTTTGCGAGGATCTTCACGGCGTGCGACGTGCCAGTGACGCTGCAGGGCCTGGTGGATTGCATGACCGACGCCGGCATCGCAGTGGACGTGGTCATCCAGACCGTCCTTGTCAAGTTGTACGCAGAGTTTGGGGAGCTGGGGCGGGCGCGAGACGTGTTTGACACCATGGTGCATAGGGACAGTGTGTTGTGGAACGTTATGATCACCGCTCATGCAAACCACGACGACTCTGGAGGTGCGTGGCTGCTGTTTTTGCAGATGCTTCTCGACGGCCAGCAGCCGGACCGGTTCACCATCGTCTCCGCACTGGAGTCGTACGCGGGGCTGGATGAAAAGAAGAAAATGCAGCTCGGGCAGCTTCTTGGCACTTGCACAGTAGAGGCTGGAGTGGCGACGGACACTCTGGTCCGTAACGCATTCATAAGCGTGCATGGCAAGTGCGGAATGCTAGTGGAGGCCGAGAGAGCCTTCGAAGGACTGGGAAGGGACGTGGTCTCGTGGAACACAATGTTGGGAGCGTTTGCGGAGAGCGGCTACTGGGAGGAGGCATTGCATCTGCTGAGGAGAATGCAGCTCCAAGGAGAGAAGCCAAACGGAATCACTCTGATGGCGGCTGCAGCAGCAGTGAGCTGCTGCAGCGGTGGTTGTCAGGTCGCGATCACGCAGGAAGGCAAGAAGATTCACGAGTGGATTCGCGAACGCGGGCTGGGATCCAGCACTCAAGTTAGCAACAGCCTGATTCACATGTACGCCAGGTGTTGGTGTCCACGCGACGCGGAGGTGGTGTTCTCGGGAATGGAGAAGCGAGACGTGGTGTCATGGACGGCGCTGCTGTCGGCCTACGACGAGACAAGCGACGAGGAGGACTGCCGTGAAAAGGCGGTGGCATGCTTGCAGAGAATGCGACTGGAAGGAGTGACTCCTAGCAAGGTGACGCTGATCACGGCGCTCAGCATTTTCGCAAAGCACGGCAACTTGTGCCAAGGCGGCATCGTCCACCAGCACGTCCGCGAGCTCGGGCTGGAAGACGACGCAGAGGTGGCGAGCAGCTTGATCGACATGTATGGGGAGTGCGGGAGGTGGGAGGACTCGAGGCGGGTGTTTGAGGTGACGGCCGAGAGAGACGTGGTTGTGTGGAACGCGCTCATTTCCGCCTGTTCCAAGGACGTGACGAGACGTGATGATGAGGTGGTCATGACGCTCTTGAGAGGCATGCTGGTGGAAGGGTGCAAGCCGAGCAGGGTCACCCTGGCTGTTGTGCTCGACTCCTTGTCCGAGTCCACAGCACTCGAGCAAGGCCGAGCAGTTGACAGGCTAGTCCGGGAGCTGGGACTCGAGTCGGACACGGGCGTGGCCACCGGACTGGTGAGCCTCTACGCCAGGTGTGGGAAGCTGGCGGAGTCGAGCAGGCATTTTGAGAGGATTGCACGGCACAGAAGCTCGTCGGGGGCGTGGAACGTGTTCATGGCGGCCTGTGCCCGGCAGGGAGTCACGGAGACAGTAAAGAGCTTGTTCCACAGGATGCAGCAGCAGGGAGTGGATCCGGCAAACTGTACGTTTGTGAGTTTGCTGAGCGCGTGTAGCCACTCGGGAGACTTGGAAGGCGCATGGCAGGCGTTCCGGGACATGGAGCGGGACTTTGGAGTGGCTCCCAGCAGCATCGAAAAAGGCTGCATTGTGGATCTGCTGGGTCGGAGCGGACGCCTGGCGGAGGCGGAGGAGTTGGCGGCGGAGGTGAGCGGCGACGCGTGGTCGGCCCTGCTTGCGTCGTGCGCCTTGCACGGTGATGTGGAGCGAGGAAGGGAAGCTGGGCAGCGATTCCTGTCCGAGTCGTGCTCGCCTCCGGCCTCCACGTACGTGACGCTGTCCAACAGCATCAAAGCGAGCTAGTTAATTCCAGAAAATATTCTGTCAAGGTTTTATAGCTAGGGTTCCTTTATCGGCGGAGCAAGGTGAGCTTGTTACTCGTGGTCTCCTGTGATTAGTTTTACGCCAGGCCAGAATGGCGAAGAAGAAAACGAGAGAGAGCATCCTAGCTGACGAGAGCTCCGACGACACCGCCCCTCTTCCTCCCCCGGCTCCCAAGGAAATGAAGAAGGCAGTGGCAGCTCAGAAGGTCGCGGTCCCGGCCAAGGAAGAGTCGGAGACGGAGTCGGAGTCGGAGTCGGATGACAGCAGCACGGAGGTTGTCAAGGCGCCAGAGCCGCCCCCGCCCCCGCCCAAGAAGCCCAACAAAGTGGTGAAGAAGGAGGACAAAGGGAAGGAGAGGGACAACAAGGAGAAGGAGACTAAGGCTGCTCGCAAGGCTAAGAAGCGTCAAAGCGTGGACAGGTCTAGTGAAGAGACTGACACCAAGGTAGCAGTAGTAGCACCACCGCCGCCACCGCCGCCGCCGCCGCCAGCAGTGCCAGCACCAGCGGCCCCAGCATCACAGGCGCAGCAGCAGCAGCAACAAGATAAGGATGGCGCTGGCACGGACGCACCGCAGCAGCCCAAGTCGGGGCCGAAGAAGGGCCTGTGGGTGGCCAAAGACGAGAGCATTCTGGCACAGCAAATGCTGGACGATCTCAAGGCCGGCTCCGACTTCCACGACAAGCCCAAGACGGACCCTTACTGGGAGGAGCTTTGCCACTCGCTCAAGGGGAAGCTGTCCACCGATTTCACCAAGGAACAGATATTCGACAAGCACCGGCGCATGAAGGCCAAGTTTGACAAGTACGAGAGCAGCAAGCCGGGTGGGCGGAAGCGAAGCCAGGCCGTGGATGCACTGCAGGCCGTGTTCAAGCAGCTGTGGGGGCGAGATCTCCCGGCCGACCACGCTGGCGAGGACAGCAATGGAGACGTGGAGATGACTCCGGCCAAGAAGGGTGGCGAAGACAGAGTTGGCGACGAACTCAAGGCGGCACTCAAAGGTGGCGATGGAGGAACCGCCATGAGCTCGGATCCGGTGCTCACCATAGCGGCTTCACTGCTACACTCCGTCATGGCAAGCCATAAGCTGGGAAGCGAGCTGACCAAGGCAGGATCGCGGGAGAGCCGCAAGAGGAACTTGGAGGACCAAATTGCTGAGTACTCGAGCATGAAGAGACGGCTCAAGCTGGCAATGGACTACTGCGAGGTGGAGGAGGAGCTGCTCGAGAAGAAGTTAAATACCATCTAAGTAGGAAGGAACGCGCTTTCCTAGAATTTTCCCTCCTTTTTCTTATAAGCAATGACTGTCATCCTGTCCAAAGTATTTACCAGCAACTGTGATAATCATGTTGAGCATCTGGAGCTCGCCTTGGTCTTTAAATGTTTTGGACGCTCGGATTGCAGCGCAGCTTCTCAATAGCGTCCTCAGGGCAAAGCTCGTCTCTGCATCGATGGGCTTGCCCACGGCTGCAGTCAAGGCAAAGAGCCACACTGCCCTGTCGTGGGGGAGGTGATCCAAGCCTTCAAACCACCTTATGTGCTTTCGCAGCAGATCTGCTCGACTCACTTCATCCAAGTCGAGCAGAGTGTGGAGCTCTCCCCGGTAGAAAAGCAGTGGCCCGGCACCAAATTCCTCCAGCTCCTCGGCCACGGGGACGCCATCCTCCACACCACCACCTCCCTTGCCAAAGCACAGAGCCTTCCATCCACAGTCGTCTTTCATGTGCGGCACGGGCCTGTCAGACGAGCTTGGCTCGCGAGCTTCGAACCTAGACCTGAGGCTGGCGAAAGTGAGCAAGAACTTGGCTTCCCAATCCTGTGTTGGCAGGAGCTGAGGATCGCAAGCCGATATAGCCGGAACCACTGGGACGTAGTGAGTTCGTTTGTCCACAGAGTGTTGGGGAGAGATGGTAGCAACTTTGACGGCTGGGTACCTTGCTGCCTCCCACTTGACACGACGCACGTACTCCCATCCATCGTCTGGTTCCTCCTTGTCGAAGTCGGGCTCTCCCTCTACCACGAAAGCGACCTTCTGGATCGGCCCAAGGTCTTGGTAGTCGTCCTCGTCGTCGTCTTCAATGTTGTAATCGCCATCGTTGCCCTCCAAGAAGCCCGGGAAGACGGCTTCGTCAAACATCCCCCCAAAATCCCCATCTTCGTCAGAATCGGCAGACACTCTCCTGCGCTTGTTGCTGCTGCTGCTGCTAGCCCTAGAAGGCCTACGTCGCTTCCTCTTGCTCCTCACCACCACATTGTCATGGAGCATACCTGCGGCATCTACACCCGCGGGCAGTTCCTCCGAGGCGTCGCGCCTCAGCGCCTGGAGCTCCTCTCGGCTGTAGCGCATCACCATCGCTGCCCTTACAAGACGACCCTAGCCCGTCCACATGGTCAACCAAAAACTTTTCAAGTGTATTATTATTTACAGGCATACTTGTTGCCCGATTATTTATTTACAACATTTTGGTGGCTGCATTTTGGGTTACTTGTTACCCGATGGATCGGGTCCAGAAGGCACACACTTTCGAGCGCAATGCCTTTCTGCAATAACAACAGTGTTAGAAACTGGTAGGCTATGGGTGAGTGAGCGGCTTACTTCCGGAGGCCTCCACCACCTGGATCATTGCCAAAGCAACAAAAGCAACAAGGATCAAGCACCAGCAGCATTGCCTTCGAAAATCCGCTGTGATTGGCATCATTAAAGGCAAGAATGTGAAAAGAGTGTCCAGTGCCGCATCCCAAAAGAGAAGGACGCTCCTTTTATACATCCATAGCGACGAACTTCGAGCAAAGTCATGTCCTCTTCTTGCGGCCAGCTGATCGAACATGCCCCATCCCTCGTCAAAGACGTGCCACCCCGTTGACATTCTGCTTGGACAGTCAACGAGGACCATTTCACTCTATATATATATTTATATCTCACTTTGGGACAGGCAGCATCCCACTTGGTCCATACAAATACAGGTTTGTTTTACCGAAAGTGAAGGAGCGCGGCCTTTTCCTTCAGCTACGTTTGCATCCCTGGTGTGGAAACGAAAACGGTGTCACCGGCGGAAGTGACGGGAGTGATTGCAGAGTGAGCTTCCTGCCGCTCTTGAGGACCGAGGAAGACGACGGGGCGCCACCAGCGGCGAGCAGGCCGGCGTTGGGAGGGGCCACTCGCTTTTGCTTTGGCGAGCCCTTGATCCCCGACCTGGGAGACGAGCGCTCAGCTCTTATGAACTCGGGAGCTTCGTCTGACGACAGCAGGTCGTTGAGCATCGACCTGGGAGACGAGCGCGGGGCTCTCAGAAACTCGGGGGTCTCGTCCCAAGCCAAGCTGTTGGAGTCCATGAGCTTGCTCACTGATGTGGCTGGAGTTGTCGATGAAGGCGTATTTGTCGAGTCGCATGGCACAATGCTGGTGCATCTACACAAAGTAACCAACGTCATTCATCAAAAATGAAAAAACAGGAAGCACGTCTTACACAGATGCATGCTGGATCAGCGTGGGGGTTATTGGGCTGAGGCTGGTTAAAGAACTGTTGCTATTGATCTGGAGTGGGTGTGGGTCTTCCAATGGATCAGCTTCGTCTTGAGCTGGAACAGAGACAACCGTCAAAATCGAAACATGAAACCAGCAGGAAAGACGTGCCTTTCTTGATGCCGTAAATGTTTTTGCAGCCATTACACTTGCATCCATCCGAACAGCCAACGCCAGCCTTTAGACAGATGAAAACCAAGCGCACATAGTAAGTATAAGCAGAAAGACTTGACTTGATTGTACCTGGTAGCATTCGCAGTACTTTTTCAGACACAGCGACTTCTTGCAGTTACAGCCGCGCTTGTGCCTAGCAGATCCTGTTGTATCGGGGCAATTGGGCTGCAATGCAAAGAGGCTGTTAGTCATGGCATGTCCCGAAAACCAGATACCAACCCCTTCCGTCGGTGTGTTATCAGATGTCTGTACAATTTTGGGAGCAAATGCTAATGGATTACGAGTTTCGATTTGCTGACGGGTTCCCATGACTGTGTCAGCAAACTCGGGCTTGTTGAAGCAGTCCCGACAGGCGCAAGAGTCAAGGCAATAGACTCCAGCGGCAAAGCATTCGCAATATCTGTTAAGCAAAGCGTCAGAAACCTTCAAAGCCATATGCAATGCAGTCTCACAGTTTTAGGCACTTCGACTTTTTGCAGTGACATCGCTTGCAGCCGTCGCCAGCTTTTTCTCCAAGAGACTTCCTGCAAGCAAGATAAGTTTGCAAAGCCATAAGAATATGAGATACTACCTCCTCTTTTTAGGAGTCCGGCCCATTTCACCATCCATGGAATCGCTTTGCATTGACAAGCGCTTCCTCCCTGGTGTCACCACCTGTTCAATCCCAAACGGAGTACCCTCGTCCATTGCTTGAATACCAAGCGTAAGAGATCGGACGCACGTAGTTGACGTAAGTAAGCCTTCCTGGGAACCAGAAGTACCTTGCACCTCCTGCTCCATTCTTGTCTTCTCCACGACTGAGAACAAAAGGCCAGGCCGCAAGTTCATAGGACCTTGTCCACACAAGGCAAATCCTTCAGCACTTTGCATCTCTTGCGAGCACGATACGAGCGACTGAAGTGAAACCCCTCGTGGTGCCGTGAGCAGTCCCAGACTGTTGAGATGCAAACCGATACCAGATGGGACGGCCTCCCGCATGAGCTTCTTACAAGAATCAGAGCATCCAGAACCGGACAAACTGCTAATAAGCGTACTAAGAGACTCTGGCCCGGAGGTTGGCGTCGAGGAGACACCAGGAGACACAATGCAGCTAAGATTTTCGGCATTCGACTCTTGCGAGTCGGACTGAAAATCCAGGCATCTCCGTCTGGCTCCCCGCTGGTTCCTACTCGTCTGCAAGCCGGGACAAAGAAACGGTAAGATGCTTTGGAATGTGCATTCGCTGGCTTACCCGCACATCTTCGACAGTAGAGTCTGTGTGATCTGTGTGTCCAGTAATTGCCAGCTTTTCCATGTTTGCAACCTCCAAATTGGCAGCCTCGCTGTCCGGCTCGTCACCCGAGTTCTTGAATGACGCTGCACCCTCGGGGGTATGGTCTTGGCCGGGAAGAAAACTAGCCAGCGTTGCATCTTGTTTGGAGGGTATTTCTTCGGTAGCATCTGCTGATGTATCGGACGTGTTTTTCTGTTGCTGGTTGAGCACTTCTTCGGCAGGAGGTGAGCAAGTTAAATCGGACGCCTCAGTCGTTTCGGACTCGCGAGAAGTAGCGCCGCTAGTGCGAGCAACTCCAGCGCGTTCTCTGAGCAGCACACGTGAGACCAAGGCCAAAGTAGGCAGCTCCTCACCTCTTCTTTTTGGGCGAGACGAAGACTGGAAGAGGTGCTGGGAAGCTTAGTTCCGAGTACGTCTGGGCGACATGAGCGGACTTGGCCTGCTTGATAGGAGAAAGGCTACACAGGAACTTAAACAGTGGAGACCCCTGCACAGCAGAGCTAGCGGCTGGATGAGCGAGGAGAGAGGATGTCATACTCACCTGGAGTTCCCCGCAGGGAGGCAGACACTGCTCCCGTTTAGGAGAATCCATGCCATGCACCTGAGACAAGGGCAATGTGAGCAAATTGTTTGCGCGGCCACGGACGATGTGTGAAAATGCGGGGCATTCTGCGACCCTAGATCATCAGCAGCGTACCTTGCTCATGCCAAGAAGCGAGATCCAACAAACCCTCTAGGCGCCATGCCCCGATCCGTGGCAGGCATTGGCGGGGCGCGAGATGAGCCCCAAAACCACAGAGATTCGGCGGCGGGGCGCGGCCCGTGCGCTAGATCCGAGCTCCACTCTTCTTGTCCGCCAGCAGAGCCAGGGAGGGAGAGGGTATAGGGTTGAGCTTAGGGTAGGGCATGGCTGGGCGTCGCTGGCTGGCTGGCTCCCGCCTTCCCGCACGCTCTCGCCTATTTAGCAACCCTTTTTCTTTTCACAAAACGCAGGCGCGGGAAACAGCAGCAAAGGGGGAGAAGGGCGGGCTGCCCGCGGGCAGACGGTCAACTGCGCTGCCACTTCCACCTGGCAGTACTGCCCTTTGAGTTTGATTTAATAAAGCATGCACTCCACTTTATAAAAACAAGATAACGAATTTCTACAAAAGCAGCGCCTGAGCAAAACGGTGCTGCTGGATTTGGATTTGGATTTGGATTTGGGCGGCACTTGGATCGCCAAAGCCGGCCTTGACGCCAATGCTGCTCTCCCCTCCTTGCTCGCACCGCTTCCTCTTCTTGTCCACGACCTTTTGCCTCTTCTTGGCTCGCTCCTCGTCTCGCTCGCTCGCATTCCACCAAGGTGGTCTTGTTGTTGCCGTCGTCTTTGCGCGCTTCCCACCACCACCCTCTTCGTCCCTGTGGCCCCGCCTCTTGTTCAGCGTCGCAACCCTCCTCCTCTTCCATGCCCTTGGACCACCAGCCTCGCCGCCTTGGAGCCCTCGCTTTCTCAGCAGGTCAGGCCCATTGTCCATCCAGTGGCAGCTGCTGCTACTGCTGCTGCTCGGCTGCGAGCAATCCATGTCAAGGACGCCATCGCCGCACAGGTCACTCGTGTCACACCCGCCCCCAGCTTGCGCTTGCCTGGTTGTTGGAATTGTTGCGCACCTCCTCGACTGCCCGTTGTCCGCGAGAGGAGAGGCGTTGGACGATGCCGCGCGCCTCACCGACGCAACGTTCTCCTTGCCTTTGATCAGGTACCCTCCCATTGCTTTGCACATTGCTGCCCTAAAACTACAAAAGAGGCGTCGCTCTATATATAGCAGGACCAGTGGTCCTCGGTTCGACTCTCGGTTCCTATAGCTGCCACAAATTAGCTACCAGGCCCTTGTTAAATAGTCCATCTTCCTCCCTGCGCAAGCAGCACAAGTGCTTATCTTGCCTCGGATTTATTCTCTACGTACCTGTTGATGTTTGTCAAGTTGCTCTTCAGCGGTGGTCGGCGCAGCCCGCTCACTCGAGCACCATGAGCAAAAGCGGATATCGTCTGCACAAACTTTTCAATCGACTCTTGAGCAATGGCTGAGTATCGCTGCGTATGGTCGACGTTTGCAGAGAGTGTGGCGGTTTTCTCCATGTTTACACCAAGTAGACTGCTGCTGAACTTCGGAAGCGATGCCTCCGCAGGTGGAGACCTCTTCCCTGATGGAACATTTTAGTTTGCGAGCTCTACTACGTACGATAACACCAGCTTACCTCTCATTGCCTTCGAGCAGGGCTTGGAAGTTCCCGCCTTCCTAACCTTCTTAATTCCTTGCTGGAGATCAGTACGTCAGGAACTCGCAAGAAACAAGGACACACCTCACCCGCATTGCGTTCTCGTCATTGACGTTCGATGGCCTGGAAACAACATAGTTACCCCGTGCAACAAACCTTCGCTGCTGCATCGAGTACACCTGCGCAGACTGTTCTTGGCTCATATCACAGTCTGAGTCGTTGCTTGATTCCTCCTCTAAGGATAGAAAAGGATCAGGGAAAAGGACAAGCAAAGTAAGACATAACGCCTACCATATTCAAGGCAGATTCTCTTGTTGCCATGAGGAATTTTTGTATCCTCCTGCAAACAGAACAACATATCCGGTAAGCTTCACAAAATAACGGACCAGCCCTTACCTCTATTTTCAAGCTACATTGCACCTCGTTGGAAGTGAAACGAACAACATGATGGCGGTCAGGGCTCGAATTTGGTGTCCTGGGGCTCAAACAACTCGCACGACCTACAAGGGACTCACTTTCCATTTCCGCTTTCTCAGGAGAGTCTGAAGCTCTTGGAGCCTTGAACTGCTGTGTTGATGCCTCCGACTTCGAAACTGCATCGGCTAAGGAAATGAATGCTCTATCATCAAGAACACTTTTGCTGTGGATACTGAAATAGTTTGTCAGCACATTCCTCTGCGCAGGTAAGTTGAGACGCTTTTGTTCTTTTTGTTTTGCAATTGGCTTTCTATCTTCGCATAAAGACTGTGGCGGCTCAGCAAGCTTGTTAGCACACGGTGATTAGCATACGGGACAATACAAAGCCTAGTATACCTGAAGTGGAGCATGAGTTTCCGGATGTATGACGCCTCGGACAATCTGCTGCACGAGACTTCGGGAAAGCTTTGTTTGTCGGAGTTAAGTTCCGAGTGTAGAATGCATAGACTTTTAAAAGGATATGGTCCGAGAAACTCCACCTCTTCGCTGCAGTCGGCGGGAAGTTCAGTAAGGTGCACCAATTCATCTTGCGTAGGATCATAGACAAGGTGATGACAAAAAGTAAGCAATGCCTTTCTGAAGCCTTCTTCGTAAGACTTCGGTATCATTACGCCCGAAAATTTCAAGTGTCTAATCACCTGAAAGGAACCAAGTCATTCTACGTCTGAAGAACACAGAGTGCCATACCTTCTCGTAGCTTCGAAATCTGCGGATTAAATTATGAGCTCTTTTCACTCCCATGCCTTGCAAAGATGGCAAGTAGTCGCAGCCACTAAGGATGCACATTTCCAGCATCATCCTCTTTGTGAAACTCGTCAGATTCAAGTCCCTGTTCTTCACCAGGTCAGCATACTGAAGCTCAAAACCTTGACCATTCTTGTCCATTTTGAAAAGGATCTGCCAGATTGTTTGATCTTTAGCATGGAAGAGAAGATAACACCAAGCGTTTCAAAACCTTTGGACAACCGTACGCAACCAGGTCCGAGTCTTCAGTGATTACAGCGTCGACAACACCGCGCAGTGCCAGAAAGGCCATCTGTGCATCGGCTTCATACGGAGAGACAATGTATTCCACATTTTCTCTGCGAAGGACCTGATAGCCTTAAACAACATTTGCAAAACAGACATGTGATTTTGCATTACTAACCAGGATAAGCTGGTGCGCAACTTCGGGAGTAATGTCTACTGCCTTTTGATAGTGATCGTAGGCTGCAGCATGATTTCCAGATGCTTCGCATTCACGAGCGAGCTTTAGATGCTCTTCCCTGGCTCTGGAATGGAAGCTTTAAAATGCGATACGGAGATAGACGTGAAGTTACCTGGAGCGCTTTTCTTCTTGCTCGGCTTTCATTGGCAATGAGCCTCCATCGAAAACCAGCAAAGGTTTGATCCCATGGTGTCGCAAGAGATTCACGCGGTGCATGCAGTAGTTCAGAAAGCTGCCAAGCAAGCTCTGGTTGTAAGAGTAAGAAAGAAGAAGAGGCCTCGGTGAGCTACACACACCTGGCTGTCGCCCGACCATCGCAAATGTCCTTGCTACAACTAAATGCGGCCTTGTGCAGCCACGAGTAAGTGTCTACAGCGACCCTCATGCCCGAGTACTCTTTCACATTCGTCGATGTCGTGATGGATTTGAGCGCCGGAAGAAGGCCCTGGATCCCCATCGCACAGCCAGATCGCTGCGCCATTGCTGTGAGGAGCAAGACAAAGGAGGGAAACGTCTCACCTTTGCTGTGCTGTGCTCCGGCCTCTGGAAAGAACCCTAGCTAGGCGCCATTGACATCATGCGACTTAACAAAGCTCTCGCGCTCCTGGGAAAATGGAGGGAAAGTGGTACCGCGATTCGAACCCTAGATCGCTTACATCTGCAAACGCTATTTGCCTTGCTCCGGGATGAATAGAGTTTTGTTAACATTCAGCTCGCACAGAGCGTTCTCTCTTTCTCTCTGTTTATCACTCGTTCCTGCTCCGGGTGAATGGAACTTCGTTACATTCACCTCTTACAGAGTGTTCACTTCCCTCTCTCTTTCTCTCTTACATGTCGTTCTTCCAAGTGGAGTGCTCACAAAATTTGTCGTGGACGATCACACGGTAACCATCCCATCGACCATAAACTGTCAGTAAATGAGGGGCGGAAGCATGGTGCAATCTGGAAGTGGCCGCGAAGAATCCAGCAAGGCCGAGATTATATCCATGTCCATGTCGTCGAAGTTGGCACCGCTGCTGCTAGTTTCCTCTTCAGAAGACTTGTCACTCCAGTTTGGACTGTATGGAGCAAGCCCGGCCTCGTCCGAGAACGCTGGAGCTGCTGATTGATCACGATTGCCATCGATAACAGTGGTAGCAGCAGTATTAGATTGGATGAGCTTGGTGGTGCGGAAGGACCTTGATCTCAGCTTTCCGGATCGTCTAGCTATAGCCGGCTGATAATTCATGCCAGTTAGCTCCTGAACGAGCTCCCTAAAGCTGGCAGCATCCGTTCTTATGACTGTAGGATTGAAGATTTGAACAACTTTGAGAACCGACCTCGGCTTTGCTCTCTTATAAGACATTGTGCAACTCGCGGATGGAAGTTAACAAAGGGGGAGCAAGCAAGCAATTGCACACACACCGGGCCTTGTAGTTGGAGGGAGATCTAGAGGAGAGGGCCTGGGAGGATACAGACAAAGTGTTTAGCTTGAACCAGTGTCGGTTGACGTCGTCCTAGTCGAGAGCTGTCCTAAGCATTTTATAGGAGGTTAGAGAAGGAGCGCTTCATTTTACTCGAGCTCTCGAGCGGAGGCGAGGAGAGATTGGACAAGCAAAGAATAAGTGGACACGAGGAGCTTTCATGGCTGGTGGTGGTGGCCCTGGAGAGGTGAGGAATGGGTACAGTCAGGGAATGAAATGAGTGAAAAAGTTTGGTTGCAATTTCCTTTTTTAATTTTTCTTCTTCTTTCACTGTTTGAGATGAGAGCGCCCGCCGGGACGAGTGGCTTCGCGAGAGCTTCACGAGATCTCTTGCTTTCTCTCACTTCACGCCTGCCTGATATCGCTCTGCATATTCTCTCTCCTATGGGTCCCGTCCTCGAGCACCATATAATTTCCACTCCCAGCAAGTACCACGATCAAAGTTTACCACGGAACCCTCTCGGAAATGTTGTTGTCAGGTCCATTGGCCAGCCACCTTTTTCCAGGCGCATCCACCCAGATCAATCCTTGAGCTTTGTTGCGCACGTTAAAGTAGTAATTTCCCAGATCACAAATCACTAAAGAGACTTGATACGAAGCCATGCTGCATGAAATGCCAAAGCCACAATCGCTACGTCGCTTCCAGCACATTTCGCATCTCTCGCAGCCCTCGTGCGTATTTGGGGCGCGGCTTCGCTGAAGCTGCCTTCCACTTCGCCTTGCACCGCTCGCTGGGAAGGCGCCAAGCTCCCACTCATCATGCCATAAGCATTTCGGCGTCCAATGCCGTGCAAAAGACTTGGCAGGCGAGCGCAGATGTCCCGGACACATAAACACTCTCTGGTATTCCTTGTGTCCTTGAATTGGAATCATGAACATGATAGCGTTCCTCATTAAATAAATTTCCAGGCTGCGAATCCCCGGGAGACGGCTTAATCAGAATTTCACGAGTAATGTCGGTGGAAAGCATGATTATCCATCTGAGCTGGAAACAAGCATGATCCACGTACTTATCGTGATGGAGCTGGTTTTGTGACTACCTACCTGTACTCGTCGCCACAATCACTAGCGATCGAGTGGAGGATCCCTGCAAATCGGAACCCCCCCTGCAAGTTGTGCTCGCCAATGCTCTCAGCGCCGATGATCGCGCTGGCAACTCCTGGCCTGACCGCACGGAAACTGTACTTCGTGCCTATCGCTTTGCAAACTCCTGATCACGAGAGCTCGAACGCATATGAGGAATGAACTAGATCTGATTTTCAAAAGACCTGTAGAGCTGCCAGCCACCACCCTGTACTGCGCCCGGGAGTTCTTTGGAACTTCTTGCCCGTCAGACATATTTCTCAGACAAGAACCACGTCCTAGTAATATGCCCAAGTATGAGGGCTACTACAGCTTCCTCTTCTTCTATGCCAAAAGTATCAAAGTTTGTCAATGTATTTTGCTTGCATGCCTGAGCTCATAGCGACATCCAAATCTTAAGATACACGCATCTGCTGTTTAGAGCGGCCAATCCTACCTTCAGCGAAGTTTTTGCTTGCAGATGATCCTTGACGGAACAGCAAGCAAACTTTGTCATGGAAGTTTTACCGTGTTACCTGGACGGGATGTGAATCGAGTATCTGCGAAGAAGTCATATCTATATAGCTAGGCTAAGGCCAGGCAGTCGCTCTCGTTGGTCGCAGTCAGGTACATTCAAAAGGCACCAATGCTGCTCTCGAGATGGATGCATGCAGGCGAGGTGAAGATGGGGGGAACGGACGTCAAGACAATCCAGCTCAAGTGGCTATGGAATCAGACCGGACTCGTGAGCCAGGAACCGGTTCTGTTCGCAACGAGCATCAAGCAAAACATTGCTATGGGAATGCCAGCATATTGATGAAATTTTCAAATGTGCCCAGCCATCCGACCATGCCCGCCCGCGACCTGCCTTGTACTTTGTTTGCTAGCCGCTGTGCAACATATACCGTGACAAGCGCGGGAAGAGCCAAGCGCCGTCACCTCCATAGCTAGGCTAGGCTAGGCTACAATGTGGAGCTCCTTTCCTCGTGATGAAAGGAAGGAGAAAAGAATAGATGTATATTTTATGGAGTTTTGTCGCTGGTGTGGGGGTACCAAGGGATCCTTAAGCTACACCGTCCAAGAGGCGGATCGCGTCATGAGTGTCTTCATGTTCCTGTCCTCGTCGAGCGACACCATGCCCAAGTGCGTGGGGTCTTCGAGCAGCATCTTGGCAACCAGGTAGCCAGCAATGGACCACGTCTGCAGCTTGCGGGCCTGCTTGCCAATGTAGCGTCCCAGCTTGCCGTCGTAATACTCGGGCCACCCGTCCAGCGACAACCGCTGCTCCGCCTGCTCGATCGCCCTGCGTGCCATCTGTGGCCTCCCCGTCTTGACGCACGCCGCCGTCAGCAGCCACAGGAGTACTGCAACACGTTGTTAGGAACAATCCTACTGAAGACAAAAGTCACCTGGCCAGGAGCCTCCGTTGTGGTAGCTCCACCTCGTGTTTTTGGGGTCGAAGCCCGTCACGATCCGCCACTCATGTCCCTCGATGGCCGGGTAGGAGATCTTGAGCGGCATCTCTCCCACCAGGTCCTCCCAGCGCTCCTCGATGAGGTCCATGATGGCCTCGGCCTGCTCCGAGGTGGCCATGGACGACAGGATGGCGACGCAGTTGCCGAGCAGGAACCACCTGAAGTCCATGCGCGCGGGGCTGACATTGCCAATGAAGTAGCCCCCGCGCATGGGCATGAAGTCGAACACCCAGTCGGGGATGGACTCGGGGATGACGTTGAACTTGTTCACCGCCGTGTGCGAGTACTCCTCCGTCTTGTAGCGGTAGATGCTGTTGAGCTGGTGGTGGTCGAGCCAAAAGTAGTTGCGCATGTGGTAGCTCAGCGCGTTGAGCCGCTTGTCGATGCGCTCAAGCAGCTCCTTGTTGCCCGGCGCCTCCTGCTTGAGCATCGTCTTGGCGCAGCGCAGGGCCATGAAAAAGAGCGCCTGGATCTCGATGGGATAGCCGTAGATCCCCTGCACACATGCGCAGCACCACGAGTGAGTGACATTACGCAGGCGTAAGACAAGAGAGTTACCATTCGCCGGTCCACCATGCAGCAGCCATCGGCACAGAGCAGCGTGGGGAAGGTGTCGAAGCCCTCGGCGAGGCAGAGCGTGAGGATGAGCTTGATACCCCGCTGGCAGTCGGGCATGTCGGCCAGGCTGTGGTCCCCGGTGGAGCGGGTGTAGGCTCGCAGCAGGATGATCCACCAGAAGCCCGAGTCCACCGGCGCCACCCGCCCGATGGCGCTCTCTCCAAAGTCCGCCACCATGGTGTCTGTCCTCCGCACCGGGTCGTGGAGGACTTTGAAGCTGGCGGGCATGGCCCCTTGCCCCAGCGTGAAGTTGTCGATCCGCTTCTCCCACGCTTGCAGCCGGAGCGCCTTGAGCAGAAAGTTTTTGACGATGTCGGACTCGCCATTCATGAGGAAGGCCAGGGCACTGGGCACGAAGTCGCGCACAAACACCTGGTGATAAAATCGGTGTCACCTACAAGTCAAAATGTGTCAGCCACCACCATACCTGGTTGTAGTTGAGCACTTCCTCGGCCGAATCGTTGGCAGCAATGGTGCCCACCGGATTGCCGCGGAAGTAGACGATGGATCTGCGCAAATGCTCCCATGCCTCCCCGATCATGGGGTGAGGCTCGAACGAGTGAATACGGGGCGAGAACAGTCCACCGCTGACGGTGGACCGGACGCTGGGCGACAGCATCAATGCTTCCAGGCACTCGCTGCTCTTGACAGTCTCGAGCCTCATGAGAGTTGGCCGAGGGGACAGCAACGGGCTGCTTGCTGCTGCCCCCACTACTGGGCTCGGATCGCTGCGGCTTCTCTCGGCTGCAGCTGCCTTGTTGGGGGCGTTCTTGGACGAGTCCGAGGGGAGAGGGTAGCAGGGGTCGCCATTGCGAAGCGAATCTGCTTCCAGCGACAAAGCACTCAAGGCAAGCAAATCTGGTGCCATGGCAACCAAGGGAGAGAGGGAGCGCTAATGTGTACCTGGGAGCTGTAGCTGCGTACAATCGAGGGGGAGATCTTGTCGCGTGTGCTCTCTCTGTTAGCAAATCTGAGGAGATGTGCGCCTGCCTCCGCTGTGGGTATTAAAGCAACGCAACGGGGGGGGTGGGGGGCGGATCTCAAAGTCACCAACACTTAGTTGGTGCCTGATTCCCGAGCTGATGATTAGAGGAGGACGGGACGGGCACACCGGGCACGGGCAAGGAAAACAAAGGAAGAAACTAGTGCGCGTATAGTGCTCTCTCCGTAACAGCTGCCCGCCGGAAGCCCAGCAAACAATGGGAGTAGATATTCTTTCTCGCCCACATCTCCGACATTGGGGAGATGCTCTGCACGCCGTATATGCCCTAAGCATCCCGGCTTTGCACTTAATTGGCACTTTAGTTTGCGCTTAAGTGCCCGAAAATGCTCACGCGCGGAGCATGGCAAGCTAGCTAGCTTATTACGCCTCTGTGACCCCAGCGGAGAGAAGAGAGCGACCTTCCCTACACTACTTAGGTACAATGTCTCCGTTTTTTCGTAAACAAGAAGAAGACGACGACGAGGACGTGGAGAATATTCCTTGGAAGAGGTAGGGCTGCGCGGCCATGGCGGCTCATGAGGGAGGGTGGAGCAAGGTGGTGTATGGCGGAATGCAGGGGGGCTTCCCGGACAATTACACCGACTCGTCGTTTCTCGAGGACATGGTGATGAACGCGAATGTGGTACGGCGGGATCTGTGGACCACGGTGCTGGATTCAGTGGGAGTGGCGCAGCACCTGTGTGTGGTTGCCATCATCGCCAGTGTGTGGGCTTACACCCTCTGCCAACGCCTCACCGCCGCCGCGCTCCTCTCTCTCGACGCGCTGCTCCTGGCGCTTGGCCTGTGCATCTGGCTCCTCACCACTCTCCACCACCACCGCCTCCGCCGCCACACCACCACCACGACGCTCCGCCACCTCCTCTACTTCGTCGCCGGCCTCTACGTCATGACCCCAGTCTTCCACACCCTCACCACCTCCATCAGCTCCGATTCAATCTGGGCCTGCACCATCTGCCTCTTGCTCCTCCACCTCTTCCTCCACGACTACTCGTGCTGCTCCACCACCTCCGCCACCTCCACCTCCGTCGTCGCCAGCGTCTCCCTCCACGCCTCCATCCTCGCCTCGGTCCTCATTGCCTCGCGCCTGCCGTCCACACCCCTCGTCTTTGCCACCATGCTCTTCTCTCTTCAGTTCTTCCTGCTCTTCCCTCCTCTCAGCTGCTCCGTCAAGCGGGCGTCCGTGAAGCTGCACCTCGTCCTCTCCTCCCTGCTGCTGCTCGCCGCGCTCGTCCTCCTGCTGCCCCTCAGCGTCCCCGCCTGCCTGCTGCTGGCCGCTGCGTTGCTCGTCATCACCTTGGTGTGCCCGCTCTGGCTGCTCCGGATCCACGAGTACAAGTTCGAGATCAACGGGCCGTGGGACGAGGCCAAGCTCTGCTTCCGCATTGACGACGATGACGCACGCAACTTATAGGTGGACGATTATAGGGCCCAGCTAGGGTAAACTGGAGCAAATGGCGGCATCGCGGTGGGCGACATGGGCGTGGACGGCCGCTCTCCTCCTGGCTGGCGCCTTTGCCGACTCAAATCGCTTGCTTCCTGTGAATTCAGGTACCTCAGCTCGCCACTTCATCTGCTTCATATATATATATCTCAGGCGCCGTTCCCAGCTTTCAGGACCCCAAGTACAAGCTCCAATTCCATGAGCTGCAAGATCCATACAGCCCGGTTTGTTCCCTTTTTGATCTTGCGCTGCCAACCCCCGATTCATCTCCTTCTCTTGACAGGAGGATCCGGACACGGAGATGGTTCGCATGACGGACAGAGATGGCAGAAAGTTTGAGTGCTTTCTACCCAAGAAACCAGAGGCTTCCCCACTCGACGGGGCCAACGAGACGGAAGCGACGCTGGCCGAGATCTCGAGGAGGACGCCGGAAGAGCTGCTGGATGTTCTCAAAGACAGGTGCTTCCACAGGGTAAAATCTTAAAGCGTCATGTTGCATCTTGCCTACATGCATATTTTTCACCAGCACGAGGGATGGTGGACCTACGAGCTGTGCTACCACGGTAAGTTCCGGCAGGTGCACTTTGAGACATCCAAGAAGGACAAGAAGAGCCAGGTTATTAGCAAGAGTCCTTTCTCAGCAATTTCCGGTCGCTCTATCTAATCTTCCCAGTCTACAGGAAGCTCAGGAATTTGTTTTGGGCGTGTATGATGCCGAAGCGACCGCTCGGCTTCACTCATCCACCCCAGTTTTGATTCAAAAGGATCCACGCTCGCAAACTGCTGCACTCAAGTGAGCACTGCTCTGTTTCGTCCCAGAGAAACTAACCTCTCGCCGCGTCCTAGGTACTTCGCACATATGTACGTGAATGGTACCAAGTGCGATCTTACGGGTGCTCCAAGGGAGACAGAAGTAAGAGACGATCCTACCAATTGATGTACACCGCTAAGCAGCCAGTGTTCTGGCAGGTCCGATTTGTATGTGCAGACTCCGGGATGTTACTAATCAGCTCCATCAAAGAATCTCCCACGTGCAAGTACACTGTGATTTTTCAGGCCCCCATGCTCTGCAAGCACCCGTAAGCGTCAACCCTCTGCTCTCCAGCTGAGCTTGGTACTGACCGATCTTTTTCTTGGCGTCTGTCAGACTGTTTCAGGAAGAGCGTCAGCCGTGGCTGGTGGTCAATTGCAACTCGGTTTCCAATGACGAGTATGAAATCAATCGCGAGCAGCAGCGGCCAGCAGCATCCGAAGAGGTGAGCAGCGGCAATATTGAGATGCTACCTCCGTCCACTACAAGCAGCATGGATGAGAGCTAGGATAGTGTGGTGCCGACAAAGGTCTTTGCCTTCGGCTCTAGCAGTCTATCGATACTCGTAGGTAAGCACAGCAGAGTCGATCCAAGCTGTTCGTGTAAGTGGGGATGGAACGCTCCGATTTAGAGAACATTAAAGACCTGATAATATACTTTATTTTCTCTTTTCCTTGGTTCTCTTATAGAACTAGCCATCGCATTTGGGAGAATCCCACATCCATATCCTCTCCATTATTTGCCAGCTTTTCCTACAAGGTTTTTTCTTCTTATTCGGAGAGGTGCTATAGGAAGAATCGTTGCTGAGATCTCTGAACGCTCCAACTGTAAACTGTGTGACAAGGTATATACAAACTTCTTTTGTTTGGTAGATGGCCGCCTCCCTCCGTCTATGGGAGGTTGAAGAGCTTGTTTCTATTCTTGCTCGTTTCGCTGGTGCTAGCCTCTGCTACCAAGCTCCTGATGTCTGAGTCCCAGTGCTGCAGAGATTTCTTCTGAAAGCCTTGCTTCTGGGCCATCGCAATGTCTTTCCGTGTTATGATCCCAATTACCCTGTGTATAATGCACGTCACCACGGATACAACAAGGCAAAGGTAATGACAGGAAACCTGTTGTGAGAGTCTGTCACACACAGGTGACGAAGCCCCAGGGTTCTAAATATGACATAGACACGCTGAGCCGAGCATTCCCGACGAACCTGCACACACGACGTGGTTTGTCAGTGCCACCCAGACGAGAAAGCTTACCGTTAGAGGTGCCCGATTCATAAAAGGTCTCAAATCCAGTGCTACAACTTTCTTTGTCTTCTTGTCTGGAGCCATGTCCGCCTCGGCCAGATTTCTCTTTCTTGCCAGCTCTGCTTCAATCCTAGCGACCTCCGGAGGCCGGGATGACAAAAACCTCCGGTGAGGATGATGGTAGTGGTGGTAAGCACGCATTGAATGTTCCAGGATGAGCATCTGCTTGGGAATCGGCTTCTCGTACAAGGAAAATCTGTGCTGCTGCCTGGAGGAATCGACTTCCGAGAAAAGGCCTTCCTCAAGGAGGAGGAGAAGCTGGTGCCTTAACACGAGACCCACGAATTTCTCGCCTGCTCCAGAATTTTCCGCGCTCGTGTGTCTCAGCACCGGAAAGCCATTGTGCCTAGTGTTGCGAAGAACTTCAAGCACCTCCCGCACAGGAACTACCTGAGTATCAATTTCAAGACGGGATCAAGAACTCCAGCAACCCGAACTTCGCCTGCATACCTCCTGGAAACATATGACATTGGGCGACATAATATCCGATGCAGTCAAGGCTGCCAGTTGGTGCGGAGGCTCGCTGTGCATGAAGTAGACTCCACCTTAAAATAAGGTGTCACACTAGAAATAATTGTCGCACCAGCCGCTTACCAAGGCGTTCCAAGTCGGCTTCGTAGGCGCCAGCGTGATATATGTGGTGTGCAACCCAGTTTGAGACGACTATGGCCACAATAATCGGCAGGATGAAATCGATGCCACCCGTTCCCTCGACCATGATTACTACCTGCAATTTATTTCGGCTGTTTGACTTCTAAAAGTTCAGAATGTAAATGTACCAAAGATATGGAAGCCCGGAACACCCCTCCCAGCATTGCAGTTGATCCCACGATCGCATGAAGTCCTGGTTGTATATTTTCACTGCAAAAGACTCCATGAGATTTATGTGGAAAAATAAGTAATAACCAGCCTACCCTGGAAAAATTGCCTGAAAAATTGTTCCCATGCATGCTCCGAAGGATGCTCCAGCCTGACATTTGCAGCTTGGAAGTCAAGGAAAAGAAAACAAGGAGGTGCTTACGAGCATGGAGGGCATGAAAATGCCACCAGGAGTGGCTGTTCCATACGCAATAATAAACAAGAAAAGTACTGATCCGGTATGAATCGCCAGGTCTGCTGTTGGAAACTGATGCTTTACTCCTTGCATGTTATATAGCTGTTGCATGCTCTGAAATGACAAACACAACTTGCCATAAGTAGGACCTAGCGCCTAGCGCTTAAGCCGAATACCTTTCGAGGAAGAGAGAATAGTAGTGTAGCCAGATCATTGTATTCACCTTTGGAGCACTTGTATCGTAGCCAATACTTTTCGTCCATTTTCCTGAAGTTTGCAAGCATCTAGTTATTAGTTACAAACATCCTTCAGGGTAACTAAGTACATACCCGTCAGGGAGAGGACCCTCGGGAACTTGTAAGCACGACCCCAGAGCAAGAGGAAGCAAGTACATTACCGCCACGGATATGACGGTGATACCGCAAACCTCCAAAAGTCTTTAAAAAGAAACCAAACAATCGTTTATGGATAATGAGCGCTGATATATCACCTTGAAAACTTTCGTGTTGCTGCAGGTCTTAAACGATCAACCCTGTCATGAACAATATTTACAAACGCGCCCAGGACACCAGCAAAAACGCTCGTAACCGCGAACAGTGGTAAGTCTCTGATTCGAAAGCCAGGCTGCCGATGAGAAGATTAAAGTGTAAGAGAAAGGATATGCGCCCAGCAACTAGTACCTTAAGCTGACGAAACGCCATGCTGCCAGGCAAAGCCATTGAAAACTGCCTGAAGTGGGGGGAGGGGGGTAAATTGCACAAAAATTTTAAAAAGGAAAAGAAAAAAAAAGGACTTACCATTCATTGATTGATGCCAGTACCATTGTTGCGCAGGTACAACAAAGAAGTGATCTCCACATCACCTAAAGTTTGAAACAGCGCCATGAGTAAAGACGGTCCATAGTTTACCTTCTTAGACCAAAAACTCGAAGCTTCTTCTAAAGAATACAATACCCCGCCAATCGGCGCACCAAAAGCTGCGGCTAAGCTGGAAATAAATAGATAAATAAGTTTGGCGTATCAAACTTAAGCTTACCCGGCTGCAGCACCGGCTGAAATAAACTCTCGACGATCTTTGTCGTTGTAGAAGTCCTGTGAGAGATTCAGCCAACGGATTCTAGGCACGGATGCACTTACAAAGTTCGTGGCTTTTGCATTCCAGCACGATCGCGAGCTTTTGGTGCTGGCATCTTTGTCCGACGGCAGTGATCCGTGCATCCAAGTCATTGCTGAAGCGATCGCAGCTCCAATGTGAACCATTGGAGCTTCCTGGCCGACCTGCACAAACGTGTCGAGTTAGAAAGCAATGAATCATTTTGAATCCTACCAACAGGCCAGACGAGATACTACAGATTGTTCCAATAATCTGACACGAGCTGATCAGCATGTTGAATAACAAGAAGCGATCAACAGGGTTACTTTTGTGATAAGTGTGCTAAGCTTGAAAAAATCGGGGATATCGTTCCCATTGAGATAAGCCATGACAAGAGTTACCTGCGTCACATCACCCGTGAGCTGAGAGACGTATGTGAGCAGCTTACCCCTCCACCAGCAGCTGGAGGAGCCCAAAACAGAACAAGGCAGCTGGAGATGAGGATCAGGAGAACGCTGAAACCCGCAAATCCAAGGAAGGACAGAATGAGGCTCCCCTCCACTGTTTTCTGAGCAAATGATTTCTGGCGGCCATGGAAAAGAAACGACAACAGGTGAGAGCTACGAGTGCAGTCGCGAGTGTTAACCTTCTCCGTGACTAGGAACTCCTGAGACGATTCGATCACGTACGCGATCAAGCCTGAAATCATGGCAAGTTGAGGTATGGCATTCGATTCGTCCACACACATACCCACGAGAACGCCGATGCAAATCGTGATGCTCCACTTGGCCAACGTCGCCCCCGTGTAGCTGTGCTGCTGAGATAAGACAATAAGACGAGAGGGGGTTTCTTTACCCGTAGAGGCGCCGATTTTGCTTGATCGTGGTTGTCTTGGCGTGGACGACGCTAAAGACTGGATCGTAGTCGAGGCTCTCGATCCCCAGCTCATTGTTCAAGGTCTCGGGCAGGGCGGTGGCGGCAGCAGCTGCAGCACCAGGAGGGGAAGGATCGAGTGCCTCCGGATCCCATGAGCTCGCGTCCGACTCACCCGTGAGCAGGGGCGCTCTGATCTCCTCCTCCTCCTCCTCCGCCATAGCCACTTGCACCCTAAGTCCGCGAGCGCATATTCGCGTTTTTTTAAAGCCATGTCAAAGGGGGTTTAAAGTGGCCAATAAGAAGTGTCGTGTTGGGTTGGGGGCAAAGGCGCAACAGTGGTGAGACTGACTGTGGAGTGGAGCGGAGCGGAGGAAATGGGGGGGAGGGGTTTTTAGGGTTCCTGGAGACACGCGCACGCCCAGGCCAAGGAAGCAGGGTATGCAGCAGAGCGAAGCCATGGAGGCAGCTGCTGCTGCCGCCGAAGGTAACTTCACCGGAGTGCTGGTTCACAGCGGCCGCTATGTGCAATACAACATCTTCGGGAACCTGTTCGAGGTCACGGCCAAGTACGTGCCCCCGATTCGACCCATCGGCCGTGGCGCCTACGGCATTGTGTGGTGAGTGTGCTCCTTCCTCCGTCTCCCAATTGGGGTCGATTTGCCCCTTGCCTGCTCTCAAAGCTCGCCGTCTCATACCAAGTTTCACGCACAGCTCTGCAGTGAACAGCGAGACCAACGAAGAAGTTGCTATCAAGAAAATCGGCAATGCCTTCGACAACAGGATCGATGCCAAGCGCACATTGCGCGAGATCAAGCTGTTGCGGCACATGGATCACGAGAATGTATGTATGCTGCCTTCGCTCATTCATTTCGCCAACATCGCTGCCTCGTGGGTTTCAGATTGTTGCCATCCGAGATATAATCAGGCCTCCCTCCAAGGACGAGTTCAACGACGTGTATATCGTGTACGAGCTCATGGACACGGATCTACACCAGATCATCCGCTCCAACCAGCAGCTCACGGACGACCACTGTCAGGTTCCTCCCTTGTGTTTTCCCCTCGCTCTTGCTACCTAGGCTTGACGGACGTGGTGTGGCTTGCGGGCGCAGTATTTCCTGTACCAGCTGCTGCGGGGCCTCAAGTACGTGCACTCTGCAAACGTTCTCCACCGGGACCTCAAGCCCAGCAATCTGCTCCTCAACGCCAACTGCGACCTGAAAATCTGCGACTTTGGGCTGGCCCGGACCACATCGGAGACCGACTACATGACAGAGTACGTTGTCACCCGCTGGTACAGGGCGCCGGAGCTGCTTCTAAACTGCTCCGAGTATACCGCGGCGATTGATGTATGGTCTGTTGGATGTATATTTATGGAGCTTTTGAACCGAGAACCATTGTTTCCTGGCAGAGATTACGTGCAGCAGCTGCGTCTCATCACCGAGGTAATGCCACACCCGTCCCCTGCTTGTTTGCTCCCCCCATCTCTCACGTGCCATGCGTTTTGCACAGCTGATTGGATCCCCAGAGGACGCCGACCTGGGATTCTTGAGGAACGACAACGCGCGGAGATATGTCCGCCAGCTGCAACGGTACCCCAGGCAATCCTTTGCGCACAGGTTTCCTAACGTGCCCCCGCTCGCCGTCGATCTCGTGGAGAGGATGCTCGTGTTCAATCCGCAGAACCGAATCTCAGGTAAGCTCCGCTGCTGGCATGTGTAAAGCTCTTGATATACTACTGCCTGCCACAGTGACAGAAGCTCTTGCCCATCCATACCTCACAAACCTTCACGACGTCAACGACGAGCCGAGCTGCCACGGACCCTTCGATTTTGATTTCGAGCAGCCCACATTCTCCGAAGACAACATCAAGGAGCTCATCTACGAGGAGTCCTTGACATTCACCACGGCGGACATGGTGACGGAATGACTTCCATGGTTGGAGCATCATAGCTAGGGGAAGGGTAGAAACCATTTTCTTGTGTCCCGGTGGCGGCTGGCTGGCTGGCTGTATATTGGATGTCATGTATGCTATGTTAGTGATCACAATAATAAAGAGAGACAAGGGAACTTGCAAGGGTTTTAGGTCAAGAGCTGCTCCGGCCGATGGGGGGATGTGGTAGCTAGCTGCGCATTCCTTTTGGCGACGGGAGGCACTGGATGGCGCTTCCAGGCTTCTTTCGGAAGGTGCTCAACCACTTGGGATTCAAGAAGGAGGGCGAAGATGGGAGGAGGCGAGATGGATTTAGCAGGGGGGGAGGGGGCGGAGGAGGAGGAGGATTCAGCACCAGGATGGCGATGCCAGCCCCCGGGAGCACAAGTGACGGAGGAGGCCCAGTGGTGTCGCAATGCAATTATGGCAATGGTGGAGTCCAGGTTCGTTTCGCTCTCCCTACCTGGGACTTAATCTCGAGTGGATGAAAATAAAGACATGTAACGCAGGGACTGAGGTGGTATTCGCAGCTCCTCCGAGCGGACGAGGACGGAGACGTTGCTCAGGAGTTTCTGCAAGAATCACGCGATCACAGGAAGCGGTTGAGACTGGAACTAGTCGACACGCGCACAAAACCGGTCAAGCTCAAGGGACCTTTGTGTGCTCTCGACGGGAGTGTACATCAGTTTGTGGAATTAGCTGGAGAAATCTACTGGGCCTGAGTCGGGGAGACGATTCATATGTCCCCTCTCCCTCTCTCTCTCTCTCTCTCTCTCTCTCTCTCTCTCTCGTCTTCAGTCACGTTACTAGAGCTAGACAACAGAGACTGGATCAGCAGTCGTATTCCCCAGGCCCCGGCAGTGTCTCGTACACCCTCTTGAATCGCTTGGCGCCGCTGAAGGAGTAGCTCGGAGGCGACACCTTCTTCGAGTTTGGCTGTTGGCCCTGCATGCAGCCGCGGCAAGTCAGTCAGTGTGGAGTTTGGGTATAGCCCTCACCAAGGATGATATGAGCTTGATATTCACAGCCGGTCCTGGTGACTCCAAGCCGACGTTGCCTCTCTCGTGCTCCACAGATATGAAAATCTGACAAAAGCTGTCACCAGGTGATTGTTAGTTATCTCCACTTACCTTCTCCCGCTGTTCTCGTCGGGAGTGTGTGAAAGAGATGACAGGTTGATTGAGCCTGCTCGACTGGGGCTGCTTCCCGATTGCGGCCACACTTTTATACTCTCCTGCTCCGGGCGTCGCTGTGATTGCCGAGATCTTGCCATGCTGCCACGGTGAATAATTCATGAATAACAACGACAACTCTTGTTCTTTACCGACCTTGAAGCGCTTGTCCATGGGGAACTTGATGTGTGGAGCGTTCCTGTTCTCCGAGTGCATCTGGTCACCAATGGATGACCTCAGGTCACACACCACCGGTCCTGGGGACTCTATTCCGTACAAGCTCTTTGTTGACAAACAAAGCACGCTCTCAGAGTTGTGAGCTTTCAGGGTTGCAGGCTCGTTTTACCTTGTTGAAGTCTTGACTCAGGTACACTTTCTGCTGCTGCTTCCTTGTCGCGGAACCGATGACTGCCTTCTCCGGCGACTTTTGGTACGAGAGCACCTGCACGTAACACCAAGTGGCTTCCGTGAGCCAGACCATACTGACCCGCAGCAGCTCACCTGGTCTCCGAAAGACGATGCCTTTTCGTAAGCTCCGGGCCCGGGTGCGTCTCCTCCTTTGAACTTCTAAAGCATTCAAGAGCGAGGATCCGAAACTCTTTTGTGTTGGTTCAAAGCGAGCATTTACCGTGAAGCGTCTTGCCAAGGGGAACGCAACTTCTGCGGGGTTCTGGTAGTCCGACTTGACTTGCTTCCCGATGGAGGGAACTAGCTCGTATGCAGGCCCTGTCTCCACAAATGCAATCATGAGATGATGAGCTGTCGGCATGCATGATTTCATACCTGGGCTCAGCCCCGGAGTCAGTTTTGAAATCTCGGCATCGATGTAGAGCTGCCATGTGACCATGACCATGACAAGGGAAATGTTTGAGAGTGGGTGATGTTGGTTATGGAAGAGTGCGCCCAACCTTCTCCATTCCAATGCGACATCCTCGCCCAAATCGCACCGATGGCTCTGTGAGCCTGGAGGAAAGAATCTGCAGAGAGAGCACACACGTTAACGCAGGGTGTGTAGCTGTTGGCCACCTGAGGTCCAAATGTGGACTTTGTAAATCGACGCCTGGCCACGGGGGGCTTGATGTCAATAACGGGGGGCTGCTCGCCTGCCAAGACGCTGGGTCCCTTGCTGCCCCCCATTCCATGCTTCACATTCAGCTTCGCATGACTTGCCGACGACCAATCGCCTGCTTCGCCTGGGCGTTAGGGCTAATGTGGATAGTGCCTAGGGAATATCCCGCCGGCCGAAGCTAGGGTTAGGGCAATGGCGGAGCACGAGGAGGAGGAGGAGGAGGAGGAGCAGCCGCTGGAGGAGGCCCGCAGGGATGCAGTGTACGATGTGGATGGGCTGCGCGATAAGCTGGAAGACATTGCGTGGGATGGCGAGGTAGGGTGGATCCATTCCTTGTCCGTGTCCGTGCCCATGGACGAGGGCGGCGTCAGTGTGGAGGACGACCTGGCCCGAGAGATGTGCTTCTATACGCAGGCGCTGGAGGGCGCCCGCGAGGCGTATAGCCAGCTGCAGGAGCTGGGCGCTCCGTTTCTCCGCCCCAGCGACTACTACGCGGAGATGGTCAAGTCGGACACTCACATGCTCAAGGTCAAGGACCGGCTGCTGAGCGACAAGAAGCAGATCGAGGAGGAGCAGGAGAGGCGCAAGGCGCGGGAGGCCAAGAAGTATGCCAAGGAGGTGCAGGCCGAGAAGATGAAGGAGCGGGCCAGGCAGAAGAAGCACGACTTTGAGAGCGTGAAAAAGTGGCGAAAGATGCGCAAGGACAGCGACTTCACGCAAGGGGAGGACGACTTTCCTGTGGATGCTCCAGATGCCAAGCCAAAACGCAACGCGGCTGCTCCATGGGACAGGTCCGGAGGGAAGAAGCTCGCTGGTCACAAGAGCAAGAGCAGGCAGCAGAGGGATGCCAAGTTCGGCTATGGTGGTCGCAAGGGCCTGAGCAAGAAGAACACGGCCGACTCCGCAGCAGGTGGGTTGAAGCGATCTGCTAGGCCAAGCTCAGGTCCGCAGAGCTTCAAGAAGCAGAGGCGCAAGTAGTAGTAGTAACCAGTGAATGTTTCTTAGCAGGCACAACTTGTTGCTCATGCTCATGCTTTGGTGTGGTGGCCATGGGCGGTGACGAGCGCATAATAACTTGTCCCTGCCTTGAGCAGCTCCTGGTGTCGGCCGCTCTCCACTATACGCCTGCTGTCCATGCCAAATATACAATCTTGGACGCTCGACAGCCGGTGCACAGCGCTGAGGGCGTCGCTGCTGGCGATGCCGTCGGACTCGGCATCCTGGCCTCGTCATCATGCCTCGCGCAATGGCAAATCCTCTGCCGCTGCCCACCGGACATCGGACACCCCCCTACGCCAATCTGAGTGTCGTAGCGCTGATGAAGTCGTGCGCGTTTGCCAGAGTTGCAGCCTCCACCACCTCCCCTCCCAAACAGAATGTTGTCCCGAATAGACACTCCAAACAGGGGCGCCTCCTGCCGCTCTCCAGCTCCACGGAACCAACCATGACTTGCTCCGGCCGCTCCCCTCGTGGATGGTCACTCTCAATCTCGGCCGCCGGCAGATAGTGGCAAGCATCCATTCCAGTGCGGCCCCTCCCCTCGTCAACTCGGGGATTATCCGAAGCTGATCACCGTGTTAGTGAGAACCGTGATGGCTCTTAACACGGGCTCGAACGTGCCGCGCTTCACCAGCCCGATCCCAAACCACATGACCATGGCCCGTGTGGCACTCCCTGCACCACGGACCGCTTGGTGCAGCCGCTGCTTGAGTGCTTTCATGCATGCCCAGCGACGCAACGGTGCGGATGCTGGATGCAGCTTCTGCAGCAATCTGGTTGGCGCTCTGATGTCTTATGTCTCCAACCAGTCCCTTGCTCCGGAACGCTTGCTGCAAGGGGCTCAGGCTCTGCACAAACAAACTGTAAGTATCGCTCAGCATGCCCCTCACCGCTGTTGTATTGGCTGACAGGCGTGCTGTGAGCGCCGGGCCGCTGTTCGCAACCTACCTGCAGGAGCTCATGTCAACAAGGACATACATGCTGCCTTTCACACACAAACACACACCTCGAAACGCTACTTCCTGGAGCCTGCGGCTGATTATAACGCCTGACCGGTGCCCAAGGAAGTACTGCAGCACGGTGCTGGCCAGGCTCCCAAGCCCAAAATCCATTCAGAGCAGGTTGGGGTGCAACTTTCGGGAGGGCAGAAACAAAGGCTGAGGGCCATCCAGCCATCCTTTTGTTAGACGAGGCCACCAGTGCTCTTGACACAGGGTCGGAGCTCTTGGTACACAAGGCGCTGGACAGTGCTATGCAGGGAGTGAAAACAAGTGTCATAGTCGCCCATCGTCTCTCCACCACAAGATCTTCGTCCTCCACCAGGCGCGTCTTGTAGAAAGCGGAACACACGATTAGCAGCTCTGACTCAGCGTACAGCTCTCTTGTGCAAAGCTTGAAACAGTCGCCCGTATCAGAGCTTCTTCTAAGCACTAATGTGAGCATGACGAGGCGTGTCACCAGGGCAAGACGTGGAGTTGAGCACTCTTGGGAAGCATGGGAGCTTGTGTCTCAGGCCTGGTCACGGCACTCTTTACCCACATCGTCATTCTTTTCGTCGGGCATGAGGAAGAAGACGCAAACACGCCTGCTGATGCCTGCGCTGACAAGGTGGTATAGACAGCCATGTACACACCTCCAGCGCCCAGCAGCAACGTAAGCCCACCAGTCGCCAGAGAGATGCTTATCCCCGTCACCAAGCTGCTCACACAAGCAGAGGACAAGAGCAGAACTAGCTCCCCAAGCCGAATACTTTCTCTCCCATGGCGTCGTGAATGAGGAGGGTGTCAGTGGAGGTGGCTGTGATCACGTCGCCACTCGTCACGCATTGGTCGAAATATCCCACCTCCTGGCTCAGGCAGCTCAGACGTTATCTTCTCCCAGCATGTTGTCTCTAGATAAGGATTCAAAGTCTCGGCATCGGAATGCTTAGAAATGTTACCGGTAGTCACGACGATCCCACCACACATGTAGCCGAACCCGAAGAGGCAGCCATTTTATTTTCACAGAAAGTATCCATCTATAAAAGCTAGGTCATATGCTCTTTTTTTTCTGGTCCTTCATTAACACTATATGAATGGATTTTTGTTCATTTTTATAATTTTTAATTTTGTTTAACAGTTATTTACTCCACTTTTTTGAGGAAGCAGCTGCACCCAGCCAATTGACCTTGCCGTCGCGAGGCCCCTTTCCTGTCTTGGCTGCGCATCTCGTATTTATTACTGTGGCGAGAGCGAGTCGACACACGAATATACTTGTTTCTGTTTGTCATTTGGCGCCGAAGGGATCGCAGCATAGTCGGAAATAAGACGCCTTACATAAAACAAGTACCAGCGTCCTTATTCACTAAGCGTGCGTACCTTGTACGAGCTTCTGGTTGTGTACAACCTTATTGCGCTCGGGAGCTACACAACTTTGCCTCTGAGAATCGCTTCCGCTTTTCGGACTTCTTTCAGGGGCCCAATCACAAAAACCTGCATGCATGGACGTTCCTCTCCATCAATAAAAAAAAAAACCAGCAGACAGCTGAGCTTGCCTTGTCGGGAGGACCTTTGGTGCCACCTATGAAAATATTGGCCCTGGATGTACACGAGCGCCTATCATAACTGGCAGCACAAGAAGGCTACGTACCTGCATGATTCCTTGATGGCAACAATGGACGCTCCTTTCCTACCGATGATGCGCCCCATTCGACCTTTTGGAACATCTACGACTGCTAGCACCTCCTCCGGATCCTCATGGCGAGCGGCAAGCTCCTCTGACAAGGCAAGCAACATGACTGAAAGCTTCGACACTGGTAGCAATCGCACGCACGTACCTGGTATAGCAGGAAGAGCAGGCCAGTTGGCAAACCCGTCATCCTCGCCACAGAAGCACCGGCAAAAGAGCGAGCTCCTGATGGACAGCTCCCACGCAGAGAAGGCGTCTAGCCTCTGCACCATGTTCCGGTGGATCCGAAGGAGAAAACGAACGTCATCCGCGGCAGCACGCTTCATCATGTTCGTTAGCGGCCTGTGCGTCCAAAACTCAGGATCCTGGCCAGCACATTTTCATAAGCGCAAGACAAGGTTGCGGAAGCAGCACGAGGATACCTTTCTCAACAAGCTCCGCACCTCATCTTTCTCGTCATATGCAACACCTACTTCCCAGAGGTTGGCTTCTTTTTCCAAGACAGGTTACCTCTTACCGCAATACTTGGCATCTGCCAGCAGGTCCACAAATGAGATGCAGTCGTCTGGGATCCACTGCCTTCCTTGCTGCAGCTCAATCAGCGAGTGTGCGATCTACAAAGCCATGAGATGCACCAGGCAAGCAACAAGAGCAGCCGCTCACTTGAGTGTCGAAGACGTTGTTGAGCTTGATTCCATGCTGGAAGTACAATGCCTGTTGTTGTTCAAAGGGTGGTGGTGAGGGAGGCAGATACTCAGTGGACTCAGGGGGGGAGGCACACACTCTACCTCACTGTCGCGCTTGCAGTCGTGCACGACTTTGGTAACGTGTGGAGATTCGAGAGCAGGCTTGCAGGCTTGCATTAGCGCGTCCCCACCTTGGACTGCATCCACCAGGTAGATCGCATCCTGGAACGCGAGCTGCGGAGAAGAGCGATTCACAAGACGTAGCGATATCATGTGCGCTTACCTGCATAATGCACAGGCGGCCATGACGGGCGAGGTCGACGCCCTCGCAGTCGAGGCCAATGGCGAGGGCGTGGGCGGCATTGGGCTCCACAAAGCAGCGGGGCAACTGCAGCGGCAGCGTGACAAGGTGCACGGGCATCTCCTGCTCGGGGAGGTGCGCCGCGGCGGCCGCGACCCCGTCCCCCATTGGAGACAGGACTGTGCCCTAGGCTAGGTAGCTAGGGTTTTGGTTGGGGATGAGGAGGGCGGTTTGCGCGGCGGCCAGGCTTGGTGCCACTGTGCGCAGCTTTGCCACCGGCAAGGAGGCGTACGCCAGCCGCGAGGAGGTGACCAATCGAGTGCTCAACGTGGTGAAGAACTTCCCCAAGGTGAACATCCTCAAGGTGAGTTGTCATGTGTGGGAGGGAAACAAGGGGCTCACTCACGGCTTCTCCTTGCAGCTCTCGCCAACATCGCACTTCCAAAAGGACCTGGGGCTGGACAGCCTGGATGCTGTCGAAGTGGTGATGGCCCTCGAGGATGAATTCAAGATCGAGATCCCGGACAGCGACTCGGACAAGATCGTCTCCTGCGCCGATGCCATCGAGTACATCGCAACTCGGCCATCCAAGAAAGAGTCCCTCATCCATCACTTTTGAGATTGTAGCAAATGCAGATTAGGGGTTCGATTCCCCGAGAAGCAACATCATCTTCTGCTTTACTTTCTTGATGCGTCCCTCTACTACGCCCTAGCGTTGCGATGCGAGTCGTGGTTGCGTGGGCAGATCACGCGGTAAGTCGTCCTCCAGCTGCCCGCCCACCGCTCTCACTTGCAATGCAGCCGGAGCACCTGCAAGCACCGAAGGCCGTCTGCTACGACTTGGCATTCAGGCCTGGTACCCACATACTAGCTACTATGCATAACTTGCTAACTCATGACCACGCCCCGTAGATGGAAGCCAGCTTATTGCTGCAGTGGGTAGCCGAGTCCTCATGTATGATGCAGCAACCGGCGACCTTTTGCATTCGCTCAAAGGTGGAAGGATGGACAAATCTCTCTTTATAATGTATGTTGCCACCCTTGCAGGCCACAAAGGTGCGGTCTACTGCCTTGCCTACTCTCGTGATGGGAAACGCTTTGCTTCGGGGGGTGCTGACAAGACCATCATCGTGTGGACCTACAAGGCACGAGGCGCTGCTGCACAGCTCCTCCTCCTCACCTGTGGATGGTGTGTGTGTGTGTGTGTCACAGGCCGAAGGCATTCTCAAATACAGCCACGCCCACTCCATTCAGTGCCTTGCATATAACCCAGTCACCCAACAGGTGGGACGTCTGGACGCAAAAGCCCTGCCTGCTTGATTGAATTCCATTTGCGTGAAGCTTGCGAGTGGGACGGCCAGCGATTTCGGGATTTGGTCCCCTGAACAAAAGTCAGTCTTGAAACACACAACCGTGTCCAAGGTTGGTTTGGGTGGCTGAAAACGCTACTGACATCACATATGAATGTCAGGTGCTTTGTGCGTCCTGGACCAAGGATGGCCAGATCCTGGCTCTTGGCATGTTCACTGGCCACGTCTACCTCTGTGACAGATTCGGAAACGAACAAGTGAGCGGCTGTGCGGGATTGGATTCATCCATATTCACAAATGTTTGTCCCACCAGGCCATGATCGAAAAGTCTTCTCCAGTTTGGTCCCTGCAGTGGAACGTCCACAACAGAGCCTCTGATACCCTAGCAGTGGCCTGCTGGGATGGCACACTCACATTCTTCAACATATCAGGCAAGCAGGTTTGCTTCGCTGGGTTTTTTGAAAAAGCATGCGTCTACCTGTGGTCTTGCCAGTTTGGGAGATGCACAGACTTGGGCTTCGATCCCTGCAGCATCTCGTACACGTGTGATGGCAGGTATCTCTGCGTTGCTGGCTCTGGTCGAAAGGTGATGAGCTCCACTGGCTGCCCTTTCCGTCGACTACCCTGCCCTCCACTTGCAGGTAGAGCTTCTGTCCAACGAAGGCATCCAACTTACCACGATATGTGAGACGAGCGATTGGGTTTGGGCCGTTCGCTCTCACCCCAAGGCAGACTACGTTGCGGTGGGATGCAATGATGGGAGCATCTCTATGTTGCAGCTGGTGTTTTCAATGGTAATGCCATGTCCGAGTAAGGTCTTATATGTCTTGTATGCCTCAGGTTCACAGCTTATACCAAGAAAGGTACGCATACAGAGACGCACTGACCAGTGTCGTTGTCCAGAACCTCATCTCCAAAGAAAAGGTTTAGCCTTCATCCCTCAACCCTTTGCTCACAACATTGTGCAATGCCAGGTCCGTATCAAGTGTCACGACTACGTGAAGAGAATTGCAGTTTATCAAGACAACCTGGCAATACAGATGCCTACCAAAATCATTGTGTATCAATTGCATGGAAGTGGCTTTGCTGCATCTGACTATCAAGTTCTCGCAAAGCTTAACGGACGGATGGAATGCAACCTACTGGTACTTACGTCACGCCACTTCATTCTGTGCCACGTAAGACTTGTCTCTAACCTTTCCTTCTCTTGCTGAGATGGCTTCGGATGGCAGGAAACGGAGCTGCAGCTTTATTCCTTGTCTGGGACGAAAGAACGTGAATGGTTTCTTGATTCCTCAATTCGCTATATCAAGGTGAGCTCTCTTTTTCTTGTTGTCCCCTTTTATGGTCCGACAAGTACAGGTTTGTGGAGGACCGGTAGGAGGAGAAGGTTTGCTTGTTGGGACGAAGGCTGGACAGGTTGTACGGCTGTGGATAAACAATGCCTTTGCAGTGAATTTGTACAGTCACAAAAATCCGGTCCGTTGCCTAGATCTATCTGCCAGCGGTTCTCGCCTTGCTATTGTTGATGAGATGTCAAACCTGGTCGTCTACGATCTCCAGGTACCGGTCAAAGGTTTACGTTCTGCTGCTTCATGCCTTTTATCCCTTCCTCAGAGTAGGACAGTTTGTTACGAGGAAACATCCGCAAGCTCAGTGGCCTGGAACACAAAGCTGGACTCGATGCTTTGCTACTCTGGCAATGGCATGCTGAGCATCAAAACGGCAGACTTTCCAGTGCATCGGCAGAAGCTGCAGGGCAATGTTGTTGGCTTTCAGGGGTCAAGAATGTTTAGCCTTCAGAACTTTACAATGCAGGTAAGGGAAATTCGTTTCTCCTTCAAATCTTCGGCAAATGTTGTTGGGTAGACTGTGGACGTTCCTCAATCAACAAGTATGCGGCAGTATTTGCGGACAGGGGACTATCAGAACGCGTACCGTGTGGCTTGTATCGGAGTCACAGAGATGGACTGGCGGGAACTTGCACTTGAAGCTATGAAGGGTCAGGACTGGAAAGTAGCTCGGGCTGGCTTTATGCGTCTCAGAGACGTTCCTTTTCTCGATCTCCTAAGCCACGCAGCTGACTATCAACCTTGTCATCTTGCAGCTTGCAGATATGCGTTCCAGGTTTCTTTGCTGTTCTTATCTTCGTGGCTGTGGCTAACCTTGCCTAGCCAGGGAGATTTTGAAGCCGCTGCTCAAGCTTACTGTGAATCTGGAGAAGTTGACAAAGCAATGGAAATGTATGCCGATTTACGGATGTTTGAAAAAGCTAAAGCACTAGCCGAATGCATCCAAAACAAGGACCAGAACAACAAAGCGAACGTGAGAGACATAATTCAAAGGCAAGCCGAATGGACTGAAGAGACAAACGACCACAACACCGCAGTTGACATGTACATCATTGCGGGCCAACCTCAGAAGGCTCTGAGTATTCTTGCTGCTCATGGTCCAGCACTCAAGCTTATTGAGGTAAGTTAATGTGTTCCGCCCGTTCCTTAAAGGAGGCTGCTGAAAGATGCTCTTGATTTCAGGTTTCACGAAGGCTTAACAAGTCGGATATACAGGAACTTAAACAGTGTGCATCACTAATGCACAAACATGGGTTGTATACCCATGCTTTGGAGACATATACTAAGCTCTCTGATTTTCGGTGGGTGTTACACATTCTGTCTCTCTTTTAACTTACCTTGCAGGTCAGATCGACTTTGCTGCTCCATATAGAGCTTGAGCAATGGGAGGAAGCATTTACAGTGAAGAAACTTCACCCCGAGCTTCAAGAAGATGTGAATCTACCATATGCACAATGGCTAATCAGCAGAGACCGATTTGAGGACGCCCATTTGGTCTACAGACAAGCCGGGCGGCCTGATCTGTCAGAACGTCTGTTTGCTCAGCTCATTGAAAACGCTGTAAGTCCTTTTCTTCCCTCACATGTCACTTGTTGTCGACTGCGTCCAGGTGAAAGAAAAGAGGTTCAAAGATGCTGCACATAGTTCGTGGTTACTGGGTATAGAAAAGCTGCAGGTCGATGGAAAATCTGAGGACGAAGACCATAGACGACTGCGGCTGTGTGCAGACATATATTATGCTTACTCCTATATAGACCAGTCCATCAGCGAACCATTCAGAACAACCTTACCGGAGACGCTCATTGGCACTGCACGCTTCGTCCTTGCCCGAATTCCAAGGAACTCCATTGCAGGGGTTTCCGTCGCCAACATTTTGGTTACACTTGCCCGGCATGGGGAACAACTAGGTGGGCAATTCGTTTATTCACGCCCCTCTTATCGGTTGGTCTCGGGCAGGTGAACACGACGTTGCAAAGGAAGCATACGAGCATTTGCGGCGCTTGAGGGTGCCCTCAAGCTGGGCAGACAAGCTGGAGGCTGCCACTTTAGCTTCCAGAGCTCGCGCTTTTGTCAGGACCATCGGCCCTTCCGTTTGTTTCTTATGCTCTGGGACATCTCCCTTCGTCTCCTACTTTGAAACCGACTCGTGCGCCAAATGCCGTCAGCCCAAGTTCTGGTCTTTCTCGACTTTCCGGCAGCTTCCTGTGGTAAGGTTCGGAAAGTATGGAGTTTATTGAGGCGCGCATCGTTTTGTCACGTGCCAGGTTCAAGTCTTCCTAAAGGATGGCATCACACATCAACGGGCACTGGAACTGTTGCAGCGCTACAACGAGTCTGATGTGCATGGAACAAACGTGGAGTACTTGGGCCTGCAGCACAACCTCCATACTGGACGAGTTTATATGGATGACAAAACGCTGTCTAAGCTGCAGGCCTCGCAGTTTTTCGCAGTCGTGCCAACTGGAGGTGCCACCATTCAAGCTCGCTACTTCATAAGTCTGGAACCTTCACTGTCACTATTTCAGTGCCCATCGTGCGAGCACTTTTTTGAGTTGGAAGAGTGGGACTTCACCGTCCTCAGGCATGGCTGCTGTGCGTTTTGCCGAAATGCTATGTAAAAAGGGAATATTCTAGAACCGCAAGGGCTTTCTTTTCTTTCCTTGTTCGTGCTTCCCGGGGGCCTCTAATTTCCTTCACTTGCGTAGGCCCTCATGACCGAAAAAAGCTTCTTGTTGTTGTGCGATGCGACATGGTCAAGCTTCAAGACATCATTCGGGATCAAGACTATATGATGTACATGGAGCGTGCAAACAGACTAGGTCTCGTTGATGAGGTTGCCAGTTTGGAGGAGGAGATGATCTTGAAAAGGTGTCAGGTATCTGAATGGCTAGCTCAGGTAATCCAAACATGGGATGCGGACAGACCGGCACTAGAAAAGCGTATAGAAGATGCGAGGAAAATTGGATTGGATGAGGTCGCCATGAAAACGGAGGCTGCCATATCAGCAAGGGAGAATGTAGTCGCACGGAGCATAGAGGTAGCCATTGACAAAGAGTTACACAGCGCGTTTGAGCAGTGGCTACAAAATGCACAAAGAATGGGTATGGACGATCTTGTCAGGAAGTCTAGCGTTGCTTTCAAAGCGAGAATGAAAAGTATTGAGCTGCAACTTCTGCAAAAGGCAACATCTGGCACAAAAGAAGAGTTTATTGCTATGTCTGAAAGAGCTCATTCCCTAGGCTTAACTGCAGCAGTGAACCGTTCCAGAAGAATAGTATATAAAAGGGTTTCTGGGCTCTTCAGTGTTGCTGGACATGCTCAGCAAACAAATGCTGAACAGTGGAATTCGCTACAAGAACGAGCAGACGCCCTGGGCATCAGTCGCGAAGTATTGGATCATATAGCAGGACACTGCGATAAACGAAGTTTGGAGACGATAGATCATGATAGACCAGCTACAGTGACGCATGAGCCGGCTGTGGTTGAAGCTAATGTACCATTGTGGTCAATGATGCAGAATTGGACAGAAATAAATCAAGTAAGGAAGAGGTGGCAGAGAAGCATGGAAATTTCTGAACAGGCGCAAGTAGCCATAAATGCGTCTCCCATCAAAATGAGGGCCATGGATACACGGATTATTTCTGCAAGTCCAAGGCAGCAAGGCGTCGATTACGAGAGTGAGTGTGATGAAAAGCATGATTCTGAACCATTACGATCTGAGAGCAGCAAAGAAATGGACATGGACGCAATTTTGTGCATGCCTTTGATTCTTACCCGACACACCATCGAGCAAAAGCTGGGCTGTTCTCCAAATAACCTACAGTGGGTGACAAAACTGGACTTGAGCCATGAAGGTCTTACTTCCCTCGGAGATGGGGTGATATCTGAATGGTGTCCCAGGATAATAGCTCTTACTTGTGATATGAATCGTCTAACCACACTGAAGGATGCTTTTCTTGGGTGTGAGCAGCAGGTAGAGCATGTTTCGGCACGAAACAACTTCATATCGGATCTTTCGGGCTTGCAGAGCTTATGTAGTTTAGAAAGTCTTCACCTCGATGGGAATAATCTTATTAGTCTTGGTCCTTGGTGCCAGAAGACTCAAGAGGTGACGGTTAATTATAATTACTGTGTGAAGCTCAAAGAGCTCACCCTGAGCTGCAACAGAATAGCCAAAATATCAAAGATGGGAGTCTTTTGTCCGTGTCTTCAAGTTTTAGACCTTGCATCAAACCACCTCGTCACCATGGGTACAGCATTGACTGGGCTAAACCAGCTACGAGTACTAGATGTTGGACAGAACAGGCTCAAAGGCCCGAGTCTGTGGGACGCATTGAGAAACTGTCCTCTCCTTATTTCGCTTGTAGCCTCAAGAAATCGGCTTACAGATCTCCCATCTTTTGCGGGAAGTGTCCTCTTGCGTGAACTGTGGCTTAACGGTAACGCTATTCGAAAGTTGTCTTCTGTGGCTTGGATGCCAAACTTACAAAGGTTATACCTTCAAGATAATTCGATTGACACGGTTGAGCCTCTATGGGGCTGCCCAGCACTGGAGGTACCTCTAATTCCTAGTGAACATAGACACCTTTGACCTCCAACTGTCTTGGCTGCAGGTGCTTGACTTGTCGTTCAATTCAATATCTGATTTGACTCAGTTGCGTCAACTTGCGTGCTTTATACATTTGCGGTCTTTGCAGCTGAATGACAATCCTGTTTCTGAGCACGTGGAGTATGTGGATACTGTTCTAAACGCTGTGCCTTGGTTGATCGAGCTTGACAATGAGGCAGTAGGAGAAAGCACTAAAAGCGAGGTCGTCAAAACGATTTTTCTAAACGTAATGCGTGTTATTGGGATGCAATATCTTCATGAAAAAGCTGCACGAAATGAAATAATTTCCTCAGTATGCGAAAAGCCGGATGAGATTCAAATGGTGGTGATCAAGTGCACAACTCAGAATCAATCCTATCAGTGGTTCCAGCATCCGACTGCGATTTCTGGGCACAACCAGGATTTGGAGCATCATACTCTTCCCTTAGATACGTTCCGAAACGGCTCAGCTTGTTGGATTATCCTGCGGGCAGCAGTGCTCGAAGCTCTTCAGTACGACAGTATAAGATCTACCCTGGCAGCTTCGGGATTGGAACATGTTAATGAGAAAGGCCTCTGCTTATCCACCGACATGCGAGCAAAGCTGGACGTGCTATGTAGCTTACAGATGTGTTCGAAGCAGAGGGAAAAGCTTTTACTTGCAAGCAAGGATTTTTCAGCTGAAAGAGATGACTATGTCAATACAAGAAAAAATGACTTGGAAATTTGCTTGGAGGAACACGTCAGCTTTCAAAACACCTCGTGGGCAGCTTTGACAAGAAAGAATGAGGCTACTAATGCCATACAAGCTCTATGGAAAGGAAGGACAATGCAAAAAAAAATTGCGTTATTGAATCGCCATAAAACAAAAGAATCCTTTATTAAGCTGCAGGCTCTTTGGAGAGGGTATTCATTTCGCAAAAAATTAAAAGGAGCAATTGCAAGCTCCAAGTACATCGACAACGACACTTTTGACTACGGCCTTGTTGACGAAGAGCATTTCTTTGTTGATGATAACCAATTCGGGTGTTCAAAAGTAAGTCCATTCAATTTGTGCTGTCACTTTACAAGGACATTTCCGATTGGTCAGGATATAATCGTTGGCTCAGCATCTTCTGGTCAATTGCAGGACGTAGATTGCTTACTCCGGTGTCTCCTTAATAGGAGCAATCGAACTGAATCTAAGGTAAGAATGCCATTGATTCTGTAGCATGACTTGCATGGTATCAGCTTGGCGACGAACCGGAGATAAAGAACGAACTGGCACAGATAGCTGATGAATGGTGCGTAACTCTCCCGGTTGATACTTGTTTTCAACTTGTACAATGCACAGGGGATTTAAAAGCGCAACAACTATCAAACAGTTCATGAAAGCTTGTAGAAAGGTGAAAAGACCAGCTAAAATATTAAAATCATTCATACACGGTATGGCATTATTTTTCATCCTTTGGAAGATTACGTTTGCAATGGTACAGATCCACAAAAACGATTACTGTTATCTAAAATCAATGCAGGAGTTTCAAGTGAAAGAAAAAGATTGCCAAGTAAGTGTTGGAGCTGCCATGACTAAGTTTATGGTGTGTTTTTGGTAGATATAAAGAAAAAACTTCGCAAGTCTTCCCATGACAATGAGGATGTAATAAGTCGCTCACATCTCACGCGGCCGAAAGATGTTTTAAAGCCCAGTGTGTATTGCTTTGTCGACAAAATGGTTTGATGCGAATATTCTTCCGAAGTGCATATGGGGTTTTGAATCTCCCGCCATATGACATGCCCTAATCCGGAGTCAGGGGTTTTGGAAAGGTAGCTTCATTTTGGCGGCGGTCTGACCTTGTTAGAGTTCATTCAAGATGAATAACAATCTTTTGACGGAAAGGGCGATTAGAGATGTTTTTGAGGTGACGAGCTACATTACTTTTGGTAGCGAAGATGCACCACTGCAATATGGACTTAAGGCTCGTAAGTGTCATCACTATGTTTGAACGATCAACTTGTTGTCTATGATGCAGCACTCCGGTCTGCAATCACGGGCAAACATATGGTTACAAATCCGGCAAAGAAGGGAAAAACAGTAGATGTCTACTTTCAAAAAGAGCATCCGTGGGTGTCTGATGTAAGTCTGGAAGACGAACCGCATAAACACTATAATTATTTGTAACAGTTACCTGGAAATCTCAGGGAGACCCCTACAAAGACCGCATGGGATACCGAGAGCTTCAACCTGAGAAATATAAAGGCTTCTTATCTTCAGACTTTACAAAGAGGGATGAGTTTAGCAATACAATGCGCACCAATCAATATCGGGAAATGCTTGAGGTGAACTGGACTTTTCTATTTCAATACAGCATATAATGACTCGCTTGATAACAGGTTGATAATAAACACAGCAAAAAGACCTTGGCTGCAATGACAGAGCAGATTGCTGAACTGGCTGATGGAAAAGAAGAGAAGCGAGTTCCAACGCGGGTATAGAGTTTTTTTTTTTTTTTTTTTTGTTTTGTTTCTCCTTTCTATACTTTTGGTTGTGAAACAGTTTGAAGGGCCAAAGTATTTGTATGATATTGGAAACCCAGGCCTGGCAGT